TTGGCATAGGCTCAGCGTGGTCTAAAAAGGGCGGTGAATCTCGGGGCAGAATTTTAGACCACGCCGAGGTTTTTTTAGACCACGCCGAGCTACCAGCCCTTCTCAAACTAGTTCTCGCCTATACTACGTCAAAGTGGGTCCTCGGTTTTTTTGTTAATGTAACGGGCTATGCGTCGATATTGGCACCATATTTGAGCAGAAGAAGCGTCAATGACTCGGAACCGCGTTCAATTGCCAGATGAAGAGCAACGTTCCCCGATGTATCTTTCCAATTCATATCAATTGAAGCTTCTAATAACAGCTTTGCCACCGTTTCACTTTCACTCTGAACAGCTAGAAACAACTCCGTGCGTCCCAGATAATCTGTCGCGTTGAGATCTGTGGTTCTTTCGAGTAAGACTTTGACCTGTGCATTCATATAAGATCTACTAAATTAATTCAACACCAAGAAGTCTAGAAACTCCGCAAAAATTCACCAGAGATATAGAAGCTAGGTATTATTAATTTTGCTTTAATTCTTTTTTCCAAGTTGAGAGAGAGATATATATATATATATATATATATATATGTATGCTGTTCTAGGGATTAAGGGGCATAATTCTAAAAGTTGTCAGGCATACATGGAGTCGGGTAGGACGAGCACAGACAAAATAGGTCACCTTTTTTCTCTCTGGGTTACCGATATTCTTTTGTTTAAAGTTCTATATATTCCACCCTCTCAATAGCACGAGTACATACGACCATAGGGTGTGGAGAACAGGGCTTCCCGTCCGCTCAGCCGTACTTAAGCCACACGCCGGCCGGTTAGTAGTTGGGTGGGTGACCACCAGCGAATCCCAGCTGTTGTATGTTACTTTTTATGTTTTGAAAGTTATGATATTATACTCTACTGGTTGGATATAAGCCATATACCGGCTCTAATTGTCAGGATGCTTAAAGAAGCTTTTTTCTAGCTGGGTGAGGAAGAGGGAAGTCCTATATATATCTTCTCATTCACAATCCAAATACATACGACCACAGGGTGTGGAAAACAGGGCTTCCCGTCCGCTCAGCCGTACTTAAGCCACACGCCGGCCGGTTAGTAGTTGGGTGGGTGACCACCAGCGAATCCCGGCTGTTGTATGTTTTTGCACCTTATTATAAAAAACTGAGGGCGTACACCTCATGGGAGGATTTGTTGCGTGATTTGGTTTAAGTAGGAAAACATCGAATCCAACATAATAACAATATCATTAATTAAAACAAATGCTTCGCACCCATTCTTTGCGGCAAGGTGTAGTGCCGTCTGCCCATTTCCATCCTGCTTCATGGCGTCGGCTCTTCACTCCAAGAGAAGATGAGCGACGATAGATTAATTCCCACTGCAGACTGCCCGATGAAGCGCTGTTCACCCCAAGCTCGTCTGGAGCCCGTTAGCGTTAGCTGAAAGAGGAAGCTTCGCACTGTACGTACGCTGCGCAAGACGATTCTGATACCGTTTACCCTCTGTTTTCTCCAACTCTATAGGGTGACTCTGAAACAACTGGCCAGTGCCTCGCTCGGCGATATCCCTTCCTGTGCCGCTGGTAGAAGTCTCGGTCATTGTAATTAGCTTGGCTTATATAGAGTTCCGGATTGGTGGGACGACGGTGATTGAGAAACTACAACCTCAACCCTATGGTACTGTACTGGGCCTATCATTTAATAGGTGCTTAGTAGTGCCTGTCTAATGTCATTTAAAAAGTTACCTCCACCGTATATTCGGTTAAATCCATCTAATTCCCTGAGCACCTCCTCTCTGTGTTGAGATTAGGACCCTCAGAACAGCAATAACCTTAAGTGGGGAAAATCAGAACCGTCCTTTCGGACGGCCGAAGCCTGTCGGATTTATGATCCTTTTCGAGTTCCAGTCCTCCACAGATCATGTGTTGTTTCGCCACCGATCCTGCGGCCAGTATTCCCTTGACTCCGTCCAGTTTGGTGTTTTATCTTCTAGTCGATCAAATATACGTGCAGTGGGATAAAGACCATTTCTCTAATCCAAAGAAGTCTGAAATGGAAAGACAAACAGTGCACTTGCTGCAACTAATGGTAGTCTTTCTTCCATTCCGGATCAAAAATCTTTGAAGGTTGGGAGAGCTTGGAAAGGGCTGCTCTATGTAGGTTTATATGCTTAGGGTAAGGACGCAGCAGCTGCCCTGACTTGTTGGTCAGGTGAGACATCCCTTACCTCATGTGGAAGTATGGGAATCCTATTAAGTCACTTTTCACACGTAAGATACTAACAGGATTCTATACGTACTGCTTTGAATTACGAGAGGCCTTCCCTTACTAAAAGTTCTATCTGGATTAAGTGAAAGCCTAGTAATTGTAGTTATCAGGATATGAAGTAGCTAGTGAACAACAGACTATTCTCATTGTGTATAGATGTACCTCAGTACTATCTAATCCAACCCTCCCTTGGCTATATTCTAGCTTCAACATGTACAAAGGCATATGCTCGAGTATCTCTGCACTAGTTCGATGAATTCACCCCGCTAAGCCAATCACCTTCTTCGCCGCTTCCTCAAAGCTATCAAACGCATGAAGTGGAAGTCCACTCTCAGCGATCTTTCACAGTCAGCACAACTCATATATTCGTATCACAGACCAAAGCATATGTACTCACCATTCGCTGTCCTTGTTCTTCATTCGTCCCCCTTAGTCTCACAACCACCGGAACACTCATTTCCAAATCCCTGAAAGCCATGATAATCCCCTCCGCAATCATATCACACCGCGTCAACCCCCCGAAGATATTTACAAAAATAGCTCTTACCCGCGGATCGGAGGTTATAACCCGGAATGACGACTTGACTGTCTCGGACGTCGCCTTGCCTCCCGTGTCCAAGAAGTTGGCACAGTGGCCGCCGTGGATGGTGAGCGCATCTACCGTGTTCATGGCGAGTCCGGCGCCGTTTACTACTCATGTTAGTTTAGTAGGATTGCTTGAATCTTTGGAGGCACTTACCAAGGGTCCCGATACTGCCTTCTCCCTGTAATCTAGTGTCTGTTAGTATTTTTACAGATAGGGAAGTTGTTTGTAAACGTACTTCACGTAGACTATGCCGTGTTTCTCGGCCTCGACTTCCTCGCGGACTTCTTCGGCTGGGTTTCGAAGGCTGTGGACCTCTTTTTGTCGGCCTGAACTTCTGAATGCGGCGTCGTCAAAGCCAAAGCGGGCTTTTTGGATTTGTAATATTCCTCCTGTCGACGGTTTGGCTCGAATTTCCAGTAAGTAGGCTTCTTTTTCTTTGAAGATTTCCCATAGGGCTTGGACTAGTTCTGCTAGTTTTTGGTGTATGGTTTCGGGGAGTTGGAGGTGGGAAGCGATTGATTTAATTGTTGAGGATTTGTTGCTGATTTCTGTAGTAGAGTAGGCAAAGGGGAATCTGCCGGTGTGGGCAGATGCGAAATTGGTGTCTGTTGAAGCTATAACGCAGGGGGACAACGATGTTCTGTCGATGGTGAGGGATAGGAAGATGTCGGAATCTGAGGGGTTTGCTTCATGGATGGAGATAGACTTCTCCCTCAGCATATCGATGGCTTGAAATTCTTTGATAAAGAGAGATCGGGTTTGCTTTGATGGAAGGGTTTTTTGTTCACGATTCATGGATACACGTCGCATCGTATGTAGACCTTTTTTCTGGTTTGGAGCCTTACTTGACTGGAACATGGTCAGCGCCTCTATCTTGCTCCGCGGATCCTTGCAGAAGCTTACCTGCGTGGGTTGAATACGTGATCGATTGCTGAGTAGAGTCTTCATCCCTTCTCCAAACTTCTCTGGATGGTTGACCATAACTGCGCCGGCACGCTCAAGAGCTTGGTATTTCGACTTTGCATCGGGTTCCCCAAGAGCTGTCCATGCGCCGGCATGGCCCATGATCCGCCCAGGTGGTGCATGAAGCCCGCCGACCAGAGCCATGATGGGCCTCGTCTTCTAGTCAGCATCAAAGCAATAAACAGATCAAGGGATTAGGCACATACTTGGGATTCGCAGTTCTTCGATTATAAACCTTGATCCATTCTGCAGCGTCAATCTCCGCCGTGCCACCAATCTCCCCTACCAGAATGATGCCCTCTGTATCAGGATCACTCTCAAAAATCTTTAGAGCATCGACGAAATTAGTACCAGCCAAGACGTCGCCACCCATACTGATGCAGAGGCTTTGCCCCAGACCCGCTCGTGTGGTCGACGCAACAGTCTCATAACTTAAAGTTCCTGACTTCGCAACAATACCTATCTTACCAGGCGAAAAGCAGGGCAACGGCTGGAATCCTATCCGACACTTCCCAATTGCAGAAATAATACCAGGACAATTCGCCCCAACCAACCTTGTTTTGGACTGTGTCTGTAGCATAGAATGAATCTACGGGTAATGTAAGCAGCCACTATATCCAATCTCCTCGGAGGATCCCCTACTCTGAGAAGGTCATGAATGGGTACATGCTCCGCCACAGCCACGACTAGTGGAATTTCAGCTTCAATAGCTTCTTCGATGGCCTTCGCTGTCTGGTCCCCCGGTACGTATATGGCTGACGCATCTGGTTTCGCTTTTTCTTGGGCCTGTGTGTTATTAGTGTTTCGATCTTGCACACTGATGGATGGAGAGGCCGTACCATCCTCACGGAGGGAAACACGGGAAGTCCGAGATGCTCGCCTTCTATGCCTGGCTTTACGCCGCCCACGATCTTGGTTCCCCAGGCCAGTGACTCTTTCACGTTGGCAGTGGCCTTGTTGGTTAGCTGATTCCATTACCTATCGACTCTGCGTAGATTCTACAATACCTGTCTACCTGAAATACAGTGTTAGTATTTTTTTGACAGCTCACTCGATAGTGAGTGCTTACCAGTAAATCCCTGGAATAGGACCCTGGTATGTGCGCCGATCTTCAGGTTCGGAAGCGTATCGGCATAGGAGTGATTCCGCGAAGAGGTGGAGAATTCATTCGTCTGTCTCGCTGGTACTCGCAAAAGAGATGTTCTCCGCACTCGTGTAGCAAGGGATCGCAAGTTTGCCATCTTGTGTTTCGAAAAATACTAATTGTGGAAAGTATCAACAAAGTCCCCCGTAGCAAGCTCTAAGCGCTTGGTAGATCCACTCAGCAATGAAAAGTAAAAGCAGAGGTATATCTAGATAAGGCAGTCATTTAGCGCTCATAGGATGGCAGTCAGTAGAGTCATAGCCCAAAGGAGAAAAACACAATGCCCATGGGGTACATTCAGAAAGAGGAGATTCAATACCTCGGGAGATCCGTTGATTAGTACTTCCGCCGATCTCGGACTCCGCAATGAATTCTTCCGAGGCTTATATCCCAGCATTAGGAGATGTGATTGGCTTTCTCGGAACAGCTGTACCGCTTGGACACTCGGAACACGTCCCATGATTCAACTTATAGTTCAGACTACATACACAACGTTATTTTGTTAGTTCAGAATTCCAGGCGCACCCATGCTCTCCCAATAACCCTCAATATGATATCAAAAGGATACGAGGCAAATCTTAATATAGAGAAGATTGAGACATATAGATATTGCACACAAACTCCAACATTAACGAGGCTTGCAGACTGTTTCCCGACTTCGCGCGTCAGACCTCAGGAGGTCTCAGGAGTGTTTTAGAAAGATGCACCTTTCTTTGCATGTTACGTGTGGCCTTATCTCGAGGGATTATTGCTGAAAGCGTGTGACATTGGGCCGAGATATTAAGATAGATTTGCTCTGTTGCATCCGGAGTTGTTGCCTTACGCTTCTCAATATCTATGCCACCCTCTGACAGCCATCAAGGAGTCTCCATGGATCATGTCCGTACGACCTACGCAAGTCGACATAAAGGCAACCGTAAGGTACTTCCTAGTAAGTCCAGATGGTAGTTGAAGTATAGCAAGTCGACAATTTCTCCAATGCCCCTAATGCAGTCAAGAGTTCTTAGATACAGAAGAAATCTTGAGTATTGTTTTGGTGTTCACCATAGAAGCTATACTTTCTCCTCTTCGTTTCAATTTCTGCTGCACATGTAGCCCTGTCATGCTCTTTAGGATTAGTCTCGATCTTTTCCATCCACTTTGCTTCTTGCTGAGACACATTTATGATGTATCAAAGGCCAAGCCATCCTGGCCGCTTTGGAAAGGCGAGGTCCCAGATGATTCTCGATACCTGCAGGCCATGTTCCGCTAGGAACGTCCTATTTTCCTTCTCAACCTGACCACCCGGTCTCTCAGCCTTACTATCCTCGAGAGAGCGCTGAAAAAGACAATCATAACTTTCGGATTGATCACTTAATACATCAAAAGAGAAATGAAGACCAGATACTCGGAAAAACTTCACACATGATAATCATATTACGCGGTCCAATCTTGTCCATATGTATAATTGAGGTTTCAGTATCTGATCGCGCAGCTATAAATCAGGATTTGAATTTTATGGTTTGGATACTATGTACGTAAAGTCTTATTGCTCTACTGCTAGATTATAGTTCCTTTCTTTTCATACTGATATCCTATAATTAGCAAGTAGAGGAAGACTAAGGCAAATAAAAGTTGCCTATACTTCTTAATATAGAGTGAGACTGCACTTCTTATAGATATATAGAACCGAGCATAGAACAGCAAAAGTGCAAGTTTATCCATAATGCCGGCTCTGAGTTCCCTTATTAATTCCTATCTCCCCCCAGGTAATGGAGATCCCAGCAACGGCGATAAACCAGCTCAAGGAGTAACAAAACAGCGGAACTCGATATGTCACTCCTTCTTAGCACATATTATAAGCCGAACCGGGCGATGATTGTTTCTTCCACTGTCTTGATGAGGGAAAATAGAAACCGGCGGCAACATCCACTCCGCCAGATCGGTGAGCTCGAAGGCATTCTCTAGAACGGCTGAAACATAGGTCTGAATGGTTCGGTGGTAGGAGGGGATTCCATCCGCGATCCATTCAAGAACCCGAGGACCTTCTTGGCCATACGTTCTAACAGGCCAAAACCACTCGCCATCCTTTGTCTGCTACCACAATGCTTTGTCGGTCGCGGATCGGATTGGGTGATTAACGGAGAAAACTAGACGGCCATCTGATGTCAAAGTCCTTTGGATTTGTCCGATCAGGGCCCAGATTTTCCACATGATGAAAGACGAGGCTGCTGTAGATAATGTCATATGAATTGGCTGGAAGCACAATGGTGTTCAAGTCAACTTGTTCATAAGTAATGCACTCTCCACTGTTGAGCTCGTTTGCTTTTGCCAGCATGTTCACAGAGACATCAATCCCGTGCACCCTTCTGGCACCATTTTCATTGGCCCACTTGCAAAACCATCCAAAGCCGCAACCTAAGTCGAGAACATTTTGACCTTTAACACTTTAGATCATAACTTTCATAAGAGGCCATTCTGTTACTGCGTCCAATCCCCTTTCATTGCGTGGAAGATCGTAGTAGCTCCTGAATATCTCGGAATCGTCGTATGCGGAGGATGAAGACATGGTGAGAGGCATGTAAACGCAGCGAAGATGTAAGAAGTAACGAGACAAAGAAGGATTTCTGTTTTTTCTTTTCTTTCTATGGTTTTTGAGTGAAGAATTTGAACGCAGAAGCAAAGTGCAAATGGAAGGACTCGGGGCAAGGCACGTATCATTTAAGACCACTTGCGGCATCATTTTAGTATGTATTGCTCTGTGAAGTTCAAGCATGTAACCCAACCGGGACTATGTTCAGCATGCCACACAGACACATGTACTCAACCTAGGTTACATTGTGAGACTCCGAATCACTAGCTAGAAATTGATTTTCCTTCATTGGTCTAAATTGGATGTGAGCTTCCTGGGCTTAGAATGACCTTTTTGGATCAATATCTAGAATAATAAGAGATATGTGTATGGTTCTTGCTCAATGCTTGTTCGTAAGTGTAATTAAATTGGTTTGTGATAATCTAGTTAACATTCGCTGATTACAAACCAAACGCATAGGATTATCAAAGCATCCAGCCATTAGTTAACTGCAGAACATGACTAATTGCATATTGTCAATACTTACTAGTATCGGGTAGTAACCAATAAGTATAGACTGATTATTCGCAAGGTAAAAGACCAAGTTCCATGTTTCATCAACTCTCAAAATGAAAGCCATCGTGCTGAATGGCACAAACGCTACAGTGGTATACTCACGGCCCATTCCCAGACTACGTGATGACTACCTTCTCATTAAAACCATTGCCGTCGCCCTAAATCCGACCGACTGTAAGGCGATCAGCCAGGGAAGAGGGGCCAAAAACGGCCTTGCTGGCTGCGACTTCGCTGGTACTGTCGAAGACATCGGACCAGCAGTCACCAAGAAGTGGACTAAAGGTGACCGAGTCTGTGGCTGTACGCATGGTGCCAATAGCAGCAATGCCGAGGATGGGTCCTTCGCGGAGTTCATCGTTGCTAAGGGGGATGTTTGTATACGAATGCCGGATAGCATGAACTTCGAGGACGTGGCCGGCATCGGCGTCAGTGCAATTACATGCGGTCAAGGCCTGTTCCAGCAATTGGGGCTGAATCTTCCCGTTGATCCCATCAAAGAGAAAGAGTATATTTTGATTTATGGTGGGAGTACGTCGGCGGGAACTCTTGCTATCCAATACGCGAAACTGTAGGTCGATGTCCAACTACGAGTAGGCGGAGTTCTAACCAGGTATACAGGGCCGGTTATTCTGTTCTTGCAACTTGCTCTCCTAAGAATGCAGATCTGGCCAAGTCCCGCGGCGCCGAAGCAGTCTTCGACTACCGAGATCCAGCATGTGGAGAGCAGATCTACCGTTACACGAACGGAGAGCTCCAGCTGGTCTGGGATACAATCGGCTCCGACCAAGGAGTCCGGGTCTGCATGACTGCCCTGTCAACGAAGCCCGGATGCCGATACGGTACGATTCTCTTCAATGATATTCCTCGGCAGGATGTCGCCTGTACCCGGAGCATCATGATGACGTTTCGGGGCGAGCCCTTTGACTTGTACGGCAAACATTTTCCGGCAAATGCTGAGGACTTTGAGTTTGCGAAGATGTTCACACAATTGACGGAAACACTCCTCGCTGAAAACAAGTTGAAGCCTCATCCAGCCAGAATCTGTGAAGGGGGCCTGCAAGGTGTACTTAATGGTGTCGGGTTGATGCAACAGGGGAATGTGAGCGGCACTAAATTGGTGTATAGAGTTGCTGATAGTTGCTAGGTAAGGGTTTCGTTCCCCACAATCCAGGGTTGCGTACAATGTACATATGGGGATATAAGCATGGGCGCCTTCCAAGTTGGGTTGGTTTCCCTCTCCATCGTTCCCTTTGTTTATCCATGCGACGGGGACGATGTCAATCCTGGGGGGAATTCAAGGCACGCTGTCGATCATCTCGTACATGTGACTTCGATGTACAGGCGATAAACCAAAAATGGGGCTGCGATTGGTCACTAGTTCCCAACCATTGGATTGCCTCTGTATGAAGTCATCTTTGCTCATGAGAACCCTGTACATAATAGTGTAGGAAGACATCAATGGAGAAGTACTGGTTGATACAGAATTGGGTGGTTATAAGTCATTTGGATCGAATGATGTGGCTTTTCAAGGGTTTGTCAAGGGGGGTTGGGGTTAACGTACCAAAGTAGCTGAAATTGGGAATATTCCGCCTAGGCTAAATGACTAACGAGAGGAAAGTGGAATGAGCGATTATCCCTATCTTTGCCAGAGCACCTATAATTCACGCAAAGATATAGAACAAGTGTTCTTCTGAATTTCTAGACGGCAGAAACGACCGTTCTGGACATATAAACCCCCGGTGGGCCAGACCAATAAGCAGGGGAATGGTGGGGTAAGTCTTCTCCACGACTGACGACATTCATTATTTCACCTGCAATAACTATTAATATCTTTTCTCTCCCGTTCAATTGCGGATCTTTGAAACGGCTGTTGACTCCGATAATTGAAAATCGACTGACATGGCAACAAAGCCCGGTCCAGAATCCCAGGGTCCGTGTTTTCCCTTGTAACCACTGACTCCGTTCCTTTCTCCTCCGCATCGAAAGGCCTTTATACTTTGCCCACTCTTCTACATTTCTCACCTCCACACTCTCCTCCCTTACTCCTACTCACGCACCTACCTACCTAATATTCCTCTCTATTATACAATCTACCCCCCCAACCAACGTAACTGACAAAAATCCGCCCTTAATGTCTATTTCAGAAGCCACCACCACGGCCCTCCAGTCATCTCTCCGTGAACTCTCCCTCAACAACACCAATCCGGTGAAGGATATCCCCCGGCCCGCCGTAAAAACAGCTCCCACAAAGAAGAAGGCCCCCGTCGTCGCCGACTCATGGGAAGACGAGGCCGACGAATCCGAACCCGAACCCAATTCCCCAGCATGTACTAGCTCGTCGCTCTCCCCATCCGTCACAACAGCAGAGGGCCCCCTCGATCCCCCGCCTACCCCCATCTCCCCCCAAACATCCCACACATGGAACTCTGTACCGGTGTATGCTGATGTTGGGGGCGCGGGCTCACGGACCTCGGCGTCGAGGTCGCCCACGCCGGCACGCAGGCCGGAGAAGCAGACGGCTGTTGCAGGGAGGATGATTGCCGGGGCGTTGGGGATTCGGGCGCCGAAGAGGACGGAGGAGCAGCGGGCGTACGATCGGGCTGTGAAGGAGAAGGAGATTAGACGGCGGAATCAGGAGAGGGAGGCTGCGGCTAAGGTTAAGGAGGAGGAGGAGCGGGCGAAGGCGGCTGTTTGGGATGATTGATCAATAAAATAGTTGGTTAGTTAGTTTCGGCGTTTTGTTCGTTGTTTTATATATATATTTTCTTGTGGCTCTTCTCTCTAGTTGATTTTTATGGTCTGGTCTTATATCGTTCTTTTTCTGGGGGTGTTTGTGTAATAGTTTGTTGAAGTTTGGGGGGTTTCGGTTTGGGATCATGAGCAGTTGTATCATGTGCAGGTATAGTTACAGGGAGTGTACAGTACTACTCCTTCTGCTTTGTGTTTGTGTTTGAACGTCTGATCAGGACTTAGGCAGACGGGATTAAAGGACAGTAATACTACAAGCGACGGAAATCCCACGGAATCCTCTACCTAAGACAAAGCCTTACGTCGTAAGAAGTTGATTCGTAATTCCTAAATTGCCTATCCACAAGACCCTAGCATGTTTTTGGTAGAAGCCCCCTCGTGTCTAAGCCTTTCTAAGCTTAAATCAAGCCCGCAGGCGACCCTTCCCAGCTAAAGCCCGACCGGGCCAACGCTAAAACCGATTGCGCCTATGTCTCAAATGCAACGGATCAAGAAAAAAGACCAAGTGACAAGAAGCGAAAAGATGACGGTCAGATGGGGTTTCCTTAACCACCGATCTGCTCCTGGTGGACTTCAAGGGTATCTCCATCGGCCATTTCGAGCTAGAAAGAGGGTGAAGAAGGCAACATGTTAACAAGATGGTTTTACTGCGCAAGGTGTTGATGCAAGGTAAACATACAGTGTCCGGCGTGTCTTCCGGGCGTACACGGGTTCCGTCGAACAGGAAACGGACAGTAGAGATCTGCTTTCCTTGACGTTCGCAGAAAGCATCCATCAGCTTCTTCAGCTGGGTGGAACGCTTGATCTTGAAGAAAACTTCATTGTTGTTGTCCGTCACTTTGATATTGAGGTGCTCAACAGGGGCGTCTCCTCCGGGAATGTCGGCCATGTTGATACTATGTAGGCGAAGAGGTTCTCGCAATAGAGGGAGAGGTGCTGTGTTTGAGTGGCCATGTCAGCTCTACCGCAGTTGGCTCTGTCGCATGTGGTGGGGGAATAGGGAGAGTTGAGGGCTAAGCGGAGTAGGACTTACACAAAAGCGACCGAAATTAGGCGATTGAAATAATATGCCAATAGACGTGAAAGACTCCAGTTGAAGAGAAGGTGGATGGAGCTGAAGATGCGAATGGGTAGTTATCAATGATTTGGAGGCGATGAGAAGGCGACTTCATTCCCCACCACCGGCAGTGAATACCTACGGATAATCTATTTTGCGGCGCAGGTCCTGACTCTAGATCTATGGATTGTTTGTTTGAGAGTCTTCTAACCATTCAACGTTTCACTGCCTGCGGCTTTTGTGTTTTATGTTCATTTGCTCTTTGGAAATTTCTCATGATTGTATAGTGAGATATATAAAATTGGTTAAATAAGGCTCTTTCTTTTCACCCGCTGGTTAGTCCTTTGGGACCTATTGCGTCATGGTAAGGGAGAACACAGATATTTCAATTTGAATCTAGAATGACAGTGATTCAGGGCGGATTAAAAGAGGATCTGGCATATGACCCTCCATGCCATCCACGGGCAGTAAGTTTAATCCATTCAAGAGGAGCCAATTCATAGAGGTTTCTTTCTGCTAACGGTAGACCAGTGCGCCATTCAAAGTATTTCACTAGCTAAGTGATATAGTTCCGCGGTGCACATCGCTAACCCACACAGGTTGCTTGACGAAGAACTCTTATCAAGAAGAGAAATGTCAATCTCAGATAAATGCTTTGTACGAGTGTTGTAACGCCTTCTATCAAGCCCGAGGGGAGGAAGCAAAGACACCGAGTTGCCCTAAGGCCAGTCTGCTCAAGCTGAGGATGAAACAACGCGCGCAAGGCAACTGAGATTCTTTCCCTTTCCTTTTCCCAATGATTACTTGCTGTACACAAAACCGACCAGTACATACTACAATTCATATACAGAATACTAGTTATTAGATGCGAGGTAGCAATCCATGAGTATTACTGGTAAACCCATAGTAATACATAAAAAAAGCGATGTGACAATCCCTACAGGCTAAGCCCTCATGCGTCAGGATGGACCAGACTAATTGTAAGAATTGCCATGATTGTTCTAAGACAATCTTGAGCACGCAAAGAGGCCGATTGACCTGAACGAAGATTGAAGCGCTCGTTCCGAGACTCTAATGATTGCCTAAAGACATTTGATGAAAGAAAAGAAGAGAAGAAGCATGAGAAAAAAATGTTGAGATTTTTATAAGCGTGTGGTGGCCGGCAGCGCTAAACTAAATCCGAGTTAGCGCGCGGTCAGCCCAAAACACGCCTGTCGAGCATTCGAGCAGAACTGAAGTTCTTCCCCAAAAACCCTGTTAGAAACGAGCAAACCTCGAATTGCCAACGGTCGCTGACAATCAGCGACGGAGGGATTTCTGACGCGCTATGGCTCCTTTAATAAAACCTACGGGCTCCGCTGGCTTCACATCAGTAAATGTGAGTGTGTTTGTTTTGACGACTACTTCTCTTGGCGGTGCACCAGCTAATTGCCTTCCTCCAGCCTCCTCGAGGATGTACGTCAAATGATTCGGAGGTCATCGAGATAGAGGATAGTGATGACGAACCAATGGGCGATGAGGATGACATGAATGCCAATGAACAAGATGAAGAAGTAGACGAGGACGAAGAGGTGGAAGACAACGATTTTGCCCGGGAGACGAACGGCATAAATGGCGGGAGAGAATCGCCATTAGACTTTGAACCCATTCCAAATGGCCACAGTACATTCGATCCCTTAACATATTAGGTTTGGTAAATGGCTGACGGTCTTTAGAAGCTTACGACATGACAACCCCGGAACTTTTTACGTCCGCTGGCGCACAGCAGGCATTACATCCTCTTCGTCGAACAGCAGATCGGGTGACGCGCCAAATCGAGGCGTTCGCAGAAAAGCTTGACCGTTTCAAACATAAAGAGAATCGCAATGACGAAATCGAAAATTACCAAGCTGCCTACCAGCTGGTGAAGAGCTACCAACATCTCGCGCAAGATTCCATCGAGGATGTCTCCAAGCAAAACACCTTAAAGCGCGCGAAAATGGGGTGGAGCACCACCCGGAGCAACGGAACAGAAGCGCATGATCCTAAGACACAGGAGGAGCTACAACGGTTACAACTAGAAGCGAATACCTGGCAGCTGTTCCTCAACCTAATTAGCATCAACGACCCCCCAAGCAGGACTAGCGCCAAGCAAGCCCAGGAGACTGCCTTCCAGAAACTGCACCGTTACTCGTCAGATCGCGAGATCTGGGAACAATTCGTGGGTGCTGACCACTATGCCCTGGAGTGCGTGATCATCATGAAATGGCTGGAACACACCTCAAAGTCGGCAAGTCAAGATATCGACTCAGTTATCTCGGAGCTAGAGGCACAGGCCGAGAGGGGCCAAGGGCTGTGGACTCATGGCTGGCTCTATACCAAGGAAACCATCAAAGGTCAAAAGCGACTGCGGGCTTGGCCTCAACCCCTCGAACCCAACGACCCGGCTGTCACGGCCTCGCTTCTAGTCTCGGAGAAGTCAGAACCATTGATTACCCAATTGGACCCCGATGCAGTTACTCGGCAGAAACAGAAGCTCCAGAAACAGGATCAGTTTCATGAGCGCGCGACTTGGATGACTTGCTGGAAGATGCTGCGGCAAGGGGAAAGTTGGACAAAAATTCGGGACTGGGCCGAGGCTTGTATGGAGAACTGGCGAGCAGTTAGCCTGTGTGGTTCGAGCGTTGATGCGAAGACTTCTCGCGGGGAACGGACACCTATTGACGACGGAACTACGCGCCTGATGAATTGGCGGACCCAGGCCTCTTGGCGAAACGCTTGTTCTGCTCTAGCGCGAAGTCAAGGCATAGAAGATTTCGAGCGCGCCGTCTATGCGTTGCTCTGCGGCGAGACAGAGGCGGCCTTCAAGGTCTGTCAAAGCTGGGATGACTACCTTTACGTCTATTTCAACAGCGTTGTGCTCTCCCGCTACCAAGGATTCTGCAAGCAGCTTCAGCGGAAGCTCAACCACTCGCCTACTGTTCCTGTTGCATTTGTTCCTGAGCCCGCTGGTTATGCTGATGTAAACAAATTCATGGCATATACGAAGGGTAATGATCGCGTTGGAGTTGAAGCACGCAACCCATACAGGACTATCCAGGCCGCCATCTTGGGCAAAGGATACGACTCGTTCTTTCATTCCCTAGCGAAAGCAGTGTCACAAGCAGCGACAAGCAAGGGGGATCTGTCCTTCGTACCCGACCTTCCACCGGCCCCTGTTGATGACTCGTTACTGATCGCGGCGGAGGACAACGATGCTTTGAGGATCGCGACTCATCTCTACATCATTGCGAAATCACTTGGCTATGTGCGCTCAGATACACAGTTCCTGAATATAACGTCTGTCAATGTGATTGGATATATCGCGAACTTGGAGGAAGCCGGTATCTTTGAGATTATTCCTCTCTATGCATCCCTTCTACCAACATACCAGGCACATTCGGTGCTTGGCCAGATCTTGATTGAAGTCGTCCACCCGCGGGATAGACGGCAGCAAGTAAGGCTCATGGAGGACCATGGTATTGATGTCGAAGCTGTCTTACGAGACCAATGGCAGTGGGTTAGCGCGAGTGTTTCCTCAGTTGATCACTCCAGGACGCTTAAGCGGTACCCCAAGGTTGTCCGCCGCAAAGATGGCCTGCCCGAGGTGGTCCCGGTTAAGAAGGATTACATTGGAACCGATGTATCTAGTGAGGAAGAACGCGTTATCCGGAGTATGGAATGGCTTCGGTTTGTTGACGGGCAGTGGGGGAGAATATGTCAGCTGGGTGCCTTAGTATACAGGAAATTCTATGGTATGCCTCTGTGCCTACAGCTACTTCGAATGTACCATTGACTTTTTTTGATTTCACAGTTACTGGCAGACTTGCTGCCGCTCGAGAGCTGAGTAGACGCATGAGGCTGTCAGACATCTCCCGGGAGTCATTTGGTTTTGACCTGGCAGAGTTTCCTTATGGTGTCGAGGATGGGACAGAACCGCCGACCCCAGAGCCCGCCAGTCCGACTAAGTCGAGGCTGTTTGGATCTCCCCATAAGCGCAATCGATCCGTATCGAATAGAGCTCCATCTGACGAGCAAACAAGCCTCTTAATACAACAATCGCAGACGATGCGTGACTTGGAAGAGCTCATCTTGGCATTTGATGCATTGGAAGTGTTTGCTGTTATTTGCGAGAAACTCGACGAGTAAGTAGCCTGCTTCTCATGAATGTAGAGGTTACTGTCCGGAAGAGCATACTCTGACGCCGATACACAGATATAAACGCAGACGCGATACTGGCACAGTCAAGCATCTGAAGGATGATTTACAAGAGGCTTTAGATGAGGTCTCCGTGCACGTTGACGCATTGTTGGATGAGTGGCTAATGGGGGCTGAGGACGGTATGGCTATTCCTTGGAGCACATGTAGAGACGTATGCTAATATCAGCAGGAACCGAACAAGCCGAGCTGGAAGAAATCCGAAAGACTTATATTCCGGAACTATTCCTTGACTATCATAATGCGCTGTATTATGCTGGCCATGTGCTCACCAGCGAGCTCCTCGTGCAGTGCATGAACCTGGCCATGCAGGTGTCGGAGAACGAGTATCTGACTAGCGCCTTTGTGGCGTCCCGTCGGATGGCGGAGCTTGTGGACGCGTTGGCACTGTCGAGCAAAGCCATGGTCAACACGCGGGCCAAAGCTGACAAGAAGCTTCTCGGAGGCGAGACTTTGGGCATTTGGAATGTTGAAGTGCCTGAGGACAACGAGACTTCGTGAAATGCAAATGTACTTATCTTATGAATGAGCTGGTGTATATTACCCTCTTTTCTTATTTATGTTCCCTCATCTTTTGGTAGGAGGGCTCTGGTCAAATCATCGCTTCTGGAACTAGATCTGCCAGAGGCCGTGTTTCATTATCTGGGCGCTAGTTTTTCCTGGGGGAAGGGGGATTGGCTCAACTACAATATTCACATCACATCAAGAATTGACATGGCATAATCAAGGACATTTCTCTCACTCACGTTTCTTAATACAGACCGCATTACCGATTATATCACACGCTCATTCCTTGTTCGGTCACTGTTTCTGAAGATATACTTGCTTTTCCATAAATTAAGTATCTACCTAACAGTTAACTATGCTATCCACCCCTTCATCGTGGCGCAGCTCCCAAACTATTGAATAAGTCGGATACTAACCCGAAGCTTGCTTGCTTCCCCGAGAAGGAAAAAAAAAGGTAATCATTTTTAAAGAAAAATTTTCTAATACCTTCCTTCACCCACTCATCAAATCATTGAATGTTACCCAGCCCCATAACCCACAACCCACGCTAAATCCTTGCTTAACAAAAAAAGGCTATCCGACAAACGCACGGCCATCACATCAAACACAATGAGACTCTTTCTTGTGTATTGTTGCTGTGTACTCTTCCGCGTAAAGAGGGCAGTGCTAGTGCTCCATGTTTCTCCATCCAGCGAGTAGTAATACGATTACGTCGGGTTGGAGAATACGGAAAAGAGGGTCTGGTCTGGTCTGGTTTGTCTTGAATGGAAAGAATTGAATCGAATGTTTCAGTCTACAGTACGGAGTGCCATTCATTAGACAACGCAGGAGTTTATGGAAGTATGCACGTATGTATCTAAATCCTGTTGCGGTTATCAAGTTGGTTACTTAGGGTTCCAGTTGTCATGGGAGGGCGCCCATGTCAGGTCGGTATGGTCTGTCTACAGAATGAATGGGCGGGCAGAGAGGGTTTTTGGTTGCCCGACGGCCTGCCTGGCCCGTTGGCCTGGGAATCGAATCAACGTTTGCTCCATGAGACATATCTACCCAAGTGCCTCTCTACCATGGGTACGTATGCAGGTTGGGGAGTGAGTTGGCGAACTATATAACCCCTCCTCTTCAAACCGCTATTCCTTTTGTTATAGGTGGGTTTTTTCCTTTTATCTTGTTGGGTTTCTTGGATTGAGATTGGGATTTGTTCGTTGTATGCGGTATTAAATCTGATCGATGGAGGGTGGTTGCTTGTGTTCTTGGTGTACTTTACTATTTACACATGTTAGACTGTTGGCTATGGTAGTACTAGGGGGCTGAAAGAGGAAGGTCGGAAGCCGTATCTCCTATTCATGGGTAATAAGCGTTTGGAGGCTGTGTTCCTCTTGATATTAGTCTGCTTGTAGAGGATGGGTGTTCAGGGGTAGGTCATGGTTCGGTCGTCGTTGTTTGGTAGAAGAGCAATTATCCTTGCATGTCCTTCTTTCTTAGTGTGAGTTTTAGATTGAGAGTGTCGATAAGCAGGGGAGAAAGGGCGAGAGTTATGGTATATGGAGTATGGTGACTACAAGTTAGTATCAGCGCAGTCAGCCAGCATCATGACGTTCTCAGTGTCTATTCAGCAAGTGCAGAATTGATCGTCTGGACAGTTGTGTCCGATATATTTCAATCAAGGAAGAAAGAGACATGCACGGTTTTAATGGGGTAAAGTAAAGGGAAGGACGGCCCATTCTCGCGTCATAACAGTCGAACTAGTGGTGATAATCGGTGATAATCGTCCTTCTAGATTCAATAGTGAAGCCTCGGTTGAACCACGGGGCTTAAGCATGCTACGACTGCACGATCCCCAGTATCGCGTATGGACGTCTGCATATTTACTTATCTTGCTCCTGTCATACCCAAGTGGTTACCCATGACGAAGACATTAGCCACGCATCAAGTGAACTATCAGACCATCGAGGTTTGAGTGTAACCGGTAATTCCCAGTCCATCTATTACCTAGAAAGTTATGAGACACTTTCTCGCACTTCTTTCCGTATCCACGCCTCGTTTCGTTTGGAGAAGGGATCCACCCGAGTTGTAGTATTATATTATCAACAGACTAGATGGTGCATCCACCGAGGTATATAGTCTTCTCATCTACCGCCAGTGAGGCTAGAACAGAAGAACGAGTAATTCAACCACCGAAGCGAACCAGTGGAATTTATGAATTGGAACAAGAAATGTATTCAAAAAAGGGAAAGGGAAAAAGTAACAGCACCCAAGGGCTAGACTTGTTGGAGACGTGTGTTATGGGCCCCCTTTACTTTGCACCGCCCATTTGCCAAGCCCCCAGAGTCCATCTTTTCAACCGCGGCAATGAAACGACATCGCAAGGAGGTTGAACGGTGCAAACGCACCAAATGAGATTGGTTCCTGAGCCGAAATAAAACAAAAACAAAAAATTTCCAGGTGTCCGTTGCGGGCCTCATTGTCGCCTGGATGGGGGTATGGAGTAAAATCTAGATACCCTAACTTGCATAGACGATGCTGGGAAGGCAATGTTATACCAACCACACATATCTAATACAACACACTTCGAAAAAGCACCTACTGGATTAAAGTTCCGGATCAAACGACACCACAGCTTGCATTAGTGGCGGTAAATCTGTCTATCTATCTTATTATTGTATGACTTGCCCCCCCCCTTTTGAAGGGAAGTCGAAGCGGAACATCCAGTGGACCCCTTTTTGGCGTCCGTAAATTTGATAGACGGTAACATCTTTTCTTCGACAGACGGGAGATCGGAAATCTTAGGTACGACTGGTGTGTCAATTCATCTTAAGGTCATACCATTGGGGCAGTGTACAGTACAAGGTCAGGCGAATAGAGAATGACGACTTTGCTTTTCCTGTTATGGTATGAGGGATGTATTGGAGGTTGGATTCCAAAACGGTGTATATATCAATATCGAATCAAGTTTGCTTGTAATAGAAGGCCCATTGACACACTTCAATGATCCTTAGGTTATTAGACTAAGAATTGGCGGGAAGATTCATATTAGAATTAATTGAACTCTTTTTCTATTTATTTATTTATTTATTTATTTCTCTCTTTCTCTCGAAAGAAAAGGAGAGAACACAAAAAAAGGGAGGAGGGAAAAAAATCAAAAATGGATGACGGAGAAAATAAATGGATTGAGGCAGTGCAATCGGAAAGTGACGAGTGACGTTTCAGCATTACAGCTTTGCAGCGAGTCTATTAAACAAAGTGAAGCATTGTGTAATTTGTGTTTCGGTGGCAAGTCATCGACCCCATCATTGAATAGATCCTTGTTTTAATGCTTCTTTTTTTTCCTTGTTGTTACATACTATCCTCTTTTGGTAGTAAATACGAAAAAAAAGACAAGAAAACAAAAAAGGAACAGGTTGATGTATACGTCTTCCCACACAGGGGAGAAGAGGAAATAACCTAAATGTAGATAAAGATGTCATGGATTCCTGCAAACGGCGTCCATTACTTAATTTGCATATTGTGGTTTTACCATACCAGAACCTAGTCGAGATTCTCGACCATGGTGGAGTGAGATCCTAGCCCTGATTGGTGGCAAGTGGACGCCTCCTCGGTGGGGTCTTACATGGAAGAAAAAGTATGGAACTACTGGTAATGTAATTAATGACTGAGACCAGCTTCTCTCCACTCATCGCAAAGCTACTACACTGCTAATCGACTTGTACAAACTCCTGGCCTCACCAACTCACCTCCCAATTTCCTCTCTCGCTTCCTCTACTTTCCGCCCTTTCTTCCTATAGGCTTTGTCCTTGTCCATTGGCCCAAAGTCCGGGAATCTGAGGAATATACGACGAACCGTACCGCTTTGTGTCTTTGTTGACTTCGGTTGGTAACCCAAGTGTTCTTGGTTTCCTTGTATGACTGACCTGGTCTGATTGAAGGCCTCACAAATTCGCGTGATATTCCTTGGCAGCCGCGAGCTTCACCTGCCGTTTGTTCTCTCTCTTTCAGGGCTCTCATGCGCTCATAAATGGTCTTATCTTGCCGATCTACTCTCATAACCGTGGACGTTTCCGGACTTCAGATCGCTATTTCCTATCATTTGATATCTTGACATCCCTCGAGTGAATCGCTTCTTCCCAGGATCCACTGCCCATCTTCTTGATAAATTGGATGCTGATCGCGACCGCTTTACATCGGTCTCACTGACATTCTTTGTATTCGGGTATACAAGGAGGAGGGTCGATAATCTTCTATCTTCAAATAAGCCACATGGATGTCTTGAACGACTGTTAGGTTTCTGCGAGCTTAGCCTGTTGCGATATTACCGCAGAAAATTACCCATTCTTCTTTCCACAAAAACTCGACCTTGTTTTTGATGATACGACGAGATACTCTTGATTGCTCCTCCGGAGCCGCATTCTTACTGATATCAATATCCCTTTCGTTTGAAACTCTCTTCGCCCTTGAGCGACCCACTTTCTACCAGAGCCGTTAAGCCCCTTGGACGATCATGTCGGATTCCAGATCGGACGGAAACGATGCGAAGCAATCGCAACCCCTGCAGCGGCCAAAGGCCCCCGAAATAAAAATCAACACCGACTTAAACGAGGAAATCTCACCGGGCATGCCACAGCCTACGTTACACATTTCTAGTGATAATGCCTTTGCGAATGACACGAGCGCTCTTCTAAACAGCGGCAGTGTTTCGCCCTTGGACGGGCCTTCAGGAGGCTCAATACGTTCTTTTTCGTCTGACCCACGCGACCACGAGAGTCGACCGACCTCTCCGCACAACGTTTCGTCTCCTACATCCAATATGAACGACCCTATCTCTCAAACTCAATTCCTGTCAGTTCCTGGCAAGTCGAACCGATCTCGCGGAAATTCTTTGGAGTCGGAGGACACACATCAGTCGTCTAGCACATATGGAGGCGATACCTATGTGCCAACAGCATCCCAGGGATCTCGGGCGGATTTATCAAAGAATATAATCATGAATGATGAGGATGCTTTGAAGCCAGATCCAGGCCGCGAAGATGACTTTACGGTGGAGGATAACAAGTTTGCCTTCTCTCCGGGTCAGCTAAATAAGCTCCTAAACCCTAAGAATCTTGGTGCATTCCATGCCTTAGGTGGGCTGAGAGGATTAGAGAAGGGGCTACGGACGGACACCAGCAGTGGGTTGAGTATGGACGAGACGATGTTGGATGGAACTGTGAGCTTTGAAGACGCAACCTCGGATGCTTTGGTGGAAACAGAGCAAACGGCTACATCTCAGCCACTGCGGCAGCCGACCAGATCTAGCACAGATATTGCCAAACAGTCTAGCAATGGATTCGGGGACCGGAGGCGTGTCTATGGAAACAACAAACTACCCGAAAGGAAGCCCAAAGGCATTTTGGAATTAGCATGGATTGCCTATAACGACAAGGTCTTGATTCTTCTGACTGTCGCTGCCATCATTTCACTCGCTCTCGGAATTTACCAGTCTGTCACGGCTAAGAATGGCGAGCCTCGCGTGCAATGGGTCGAAGGTGTTGCTATTATTGTGGCTATTGTAATTGTGGTGATAGTGGGTGCTGCGAACGACTGGCAGAAGGAACGCCAATTTGTGAAATTGAACAAAAAGAAGGACGACCGACAGGTCAAGGTAATTCGTTCGGGGAAAACGTTGGAAATCTCGGTTCACGATATCCTCGTCGGCGACGTCATGCATCTTGAACCCGGTGATTTAATCCCAGTCGACGGCATCTTCATTGGCGGTCACAATGTCAAATGTGACGAGTCCTCGGCAACAGGCGAGTCCGATGTATTGCGTAAGACTGCAGCTAATGAAGTCTTTCGGGCCATTGAGCACCAGGAAAACATCGCGAAACATGACCCTTTCATCGTGTCCGGTGCGAAAGTCTCCGAAGGCGTAGGAACATTCTTGGTCACATCCGTCGGGGTCCATTCGACATACGGAAAAACGATGGTGTCTCTCCAGGATGAGGGCCAGACGACTCCTCTACAATCTAAGCTGAATGTTTTGGCCGAATACATTGCGAAGCTCGGTCTTGCAGCAGGATTGGTGTTGTTTGTTGTGCTATTCATCAAGTTCCTCGCTCAGCTGAAAACGATTGACGGTGCTGATGAGAAAGGCCAAGCCTTCCTTAGGATTTTCATCGTCGCCGTGACGGTCATCGTTGTCGCTGTTCCCGAAGGGCTGCCTCTGGCTGTCACACTAGCGCTCGCCTTCGCCACAACACGCATGTTAAAGGACAATAACCTGGTGCGACTTTTACGGGCTTGTGAGACTATGGGAAATGCGACAACCATTTGCTCTGACAAAACTGGCACGCTGACGGAGAACAAAATGACCGCTGTTGCTGCCACTCTTGGAACAACCTGCCAATTCCTCAAGTCCTCTTCCAAAGGACCGGGTGAGAACAGCGATACGCACGAGCCTTCAGATGCCTTGTCACCCTCTGAGTTCGTCAAAAGTCTTGCCACTTCAGTTAAGGAGCTCTTACTTGACTCAATCGTACTCAACTCTACTGCATTTGAAGGGGAACAGGATGGGATTATGACGTTCATTGGATCGAAGACTGAAACAGCGCTTTTGAACTTTGCGAGGACCTACCTCGCCCTGGGTTCAGTTAGTGAGGCGCGGGCCAATGCGGAGACTGTTCAGATGGTACCATTTGATTCCGGTCGCAAGTGTATGGCGGTGGTGATCAAAATGGGACCTGGCAAGTACAGGATGTTGGTTAAAGGTGCAGCGGAGATTTTGGCTTCGAAGTGCACGCGTATCATTAACGACCCGACACAAGACCTGTCCGATCGCCCATTGTCCGATAAGGATGGGAGCACTTTGAATACGACGATCGTGCACTATGCGTCTAAGTCCTTGAGGGCCATTGGCTTAGTGTACCGCGATTTCAAACAATGGCCGCCTGAAGGAGTACGCAGACAGGAGGACGACCGAAGCCTCGTAGACTTTGACTCTGCTTTCAAAGACATGATCATGCTGGGGGTCTTTGGCATTATGGATCCCCTCAGAGCTGGCGTGACAGAGTCCGTTCAACAATGCCAGCGAGCTGGCGTGTTTGTCCGAATGGTGACTGGAGACAATATTAATACGGCCAAAGCTATTGCTGAGGAGTGCGGCATTTTTACACCAGGAGGGATTGCAATCGAAGGACCCTCCTTTCGCAAACTTAGCAGCGCTCAGATTCACCAGATTATCCCCCGGCTGCAGGTTTTGGCAAGATCTAGCCCTGATGACAAGAAGATCCTGGTTACTCATCTGAAGAAGTTAGGTGAAACGGTTGCGGTCACTGGCGATGGAACAAACGATGCCCAAGCCCTTAAGACAGCTGACGTCGGATTTTCCATGGGCATCGCGGGTACCGAAGTCGCAAAGGAGGCGTCGGATATCATTTTGATGGACGATAACTTTTCCTCGATCATCAAGGCTATGGCCTGGGGTAGGACTGTGAACGATGCGGTCAAGAAATTTCTGCAGTTCCAGATTACAGTCAATATCACCGCAGTTCTTCTAACATTCATTTCAGCAGTAGCCAGTGCCAGTGAGGAATCGGTCCTGACCGCAGTACAGCTTCTGTGGGTCAATCTTATCATGGACACCTTTGCAGCGCTTGCTCTAGCGACCGATCCTCCATCTCCGCACGTTCTCAACCGCAGACCTGAACCCAAATCTGCTCCGCTCATCACGCTCACAATGTGGAAGATGATCATTGGCCAAAGCATTTATCAAATGGTTGTCACGCTCGTCTTGAATTTCGCAGGAGGCCACTTCGGTTACGAAGGCACCGTTCTGTCCACAGTAGTATTTAATGCGTTCGTTTGGATGCAGATCTTTAACCAGTGGAATTCTCGCCGTTTGGACAATGGTTTCAATATCTTCGAAGGCATGCTTCGCAATTGGTGGTTCCTTGGAATTCAGGTGATCATCATGGGAGGACAGGTCCTGATCGTTTTTGTTGGCGGCCATGCTTTTTCTGTTACTAGAATCAATGGCGCGCAGTGGGGGGTCTGTTTGATTTTGGGTGTGGTCTCTCTTCCAATCGGAGTTCTCATCCGACTGATTCCAGATTGGCTTATTGAGAAACTCATCCCAACTTCCTTCCATCGCAAGAAGGCCCCTCAGCTTTTGGTTTCTGACGAGGATCGCTTCGAGTGGAATCCTGCTCTTACAGAGATTCGGGATCAGCTTACATTCCTTAAGAGGGTCCGCGGGGGTCGGTTGAGACACCTCAAGCACAAACTGCAACACCCACAGGAGTTCCTTCCAAGATCACGAAGCGGCTCACGGTCGTCACGGTCAAGAGAGAACTCAATCCCTGGAACACCTGTTAACGAACGTAGCAGCACCCCATCTCAGCCTCCTACTCCGGCGGCTCGGTCTCGCTCAAACTCAGCATATACTACAACGGCAGCCATCATGGCTGTCGTGGCTGGAAGTATTGGGGGCTTGTCGCCGACTCAAAAGGCCCCAGCTGACGGGGAGCCATTCAAGGTCGACTCCACGCCGCATGGGGGGTTGGAGAACCAGCAGGGCATTGAAATCCACCCCGGGACTGCAGCAGACGATCGAGTTGTAGGAAACTATCTTTCAACATCCACGACACCCCCAAGCCAAATTCCAGACCTTCTACCACACTTTGAACACGCCCCTCCTCGGGCTCCATCTAGCCGCAGCATGAGGTCTACATCCGCTCACAGCCGATCCACCTCTCGCAATGGAAGTTGACCGGTTGTTATAAACATCCTTTTTACCTCCTTAATAATACCACGTGATACGTTACCGGTCCTTTAACTGAGACCGTCCTACAGCGATGTATTATGAACCTGTCGTTTATACGGCCTTTTGATATCTTTTTTTTTCTTAGCTCTTTCTGGGTTGGCTGTTTTCTTCCGATAAAGCACCGTTACTACGTCTTTTAGCCATTCTGCTTTTCCTGTGCTTATAGATTCTCTATCTTGTTTCACCCCTGTGTTTCCAGCTATTTGTTCTTGCTCTATTGTATGATTCGCGATCCGTTGGGCGCACAATGGTGAAAAGGTCTCATTTCTGTTTCTTATAGACTCTCATTTTACTAGTACACTACTACGGTCCCGGCGCAAGCGAGGATGCTTTGTTTATTACCCCCTTGTACATATCACATCAATCCCCACACCCCCACCCACAACCTCCGGTTCGTTGGGTCAGGGATGGTTAATTACTATCAAAAAAGACATTTTTTATTTGCTTCATATCTTTAATTTTCTCTTTGTTATTCTTCATGAGCCGGTTTTGGTTTACTTGTCTTAGTTACCCTTGTACTATTATTTTGGCTTGAGCCATGGCTATGAATTCAGTAGGTTCTGATGCTACGCATTATTTTCTGCTTCTAAGTAGTCTCACTTGAGAGTATGTTTATGTAGAGTGAGTGACTTTTGAAAGAGTCACTTGCTAGTTTGTTTGTTTGCGTGCCTCTTGTTGTTGATCCTATTCGTGGCTTGTTTATACATCTTTTCGGTCTGGGTTTCTGGGTTCTTCAACCGTATGCGTTCGGGGTTATGTTCTATAGAGCCTTCAGATATTAAGGCTGAATAGAGCACTCAGGATTCTAGATTTTTATTCCCGGGTAATCGACTTGGAACGGAAAGGTAGAAAAGTAAAAGGATACTGGAAATATCCGTGGTAGATCACTGCTGATGTATCTGTAGTCAATGGGGCCCCCTCAATAGGCATTGAGATGTGGCTCGTTCTGTAATTTGGATCAAAGGCCTTGTTTTCTTTCTTCACCTTCCTTTCTTCGTCTTTTCCCCTTTAGCATGTATGCTTGGACTTATGTATAGAAGTTCTGGGTTTGATAACTATGTTAAGGTTGTGGGCTGGCGCTGGAATGCGTGTAGAGATGGATAGTTGTGGGTTTTGTTAGATACGGAGGAGACCGCAGAAAGATACTAGCATAGACATGCAGTATAATGGGTTTTGGAGGCTAATCTTCAGGTTTCTGTTTCTCAGATTCTTTGATAATTGTAGCTCTGTCACCTGGGTAGACAGGGTTATACATGGGATGACTTGAGGCTGACCACGGCATTGGGCTGTGATTCCGACGCTTTCTGAAACCAAGAAAACTTGACAGCAGCCTGACTATGTTCCACTAGTTCTGTAGTCATAATTAAGTCATGTGTGATCTGCAAGGGCGTGCTATTCTCGATTCAGTAATAGGAGCCACTTACCGGGGATATGCGTGAACGAGGGGCTCCAAAATGCACTCTCTATTCTTGGATTGACCACATGTCGGAAATGTACGCGGCGAGCTGAGCAAGACTTGGGGTGCCTGTTGCAACAAGAAGGTCCCTCGAGTCAGGTTTCAGGGATGATCATATCATCATGTTCATACTTGTCAAACTCTCTTCGACCGGTTGGTCTGAGCCTCGGGATTTTAATGAACATCCTGTCCTCATGCCTTGAGCTACGTTGCATCTTGCTCACGCTCTCTCCTTGCTTGGTTGGTACATACCAGACGACCGCCTTGGAGAGCTTATTTCCAATATGAGTAATGGAATGTGAGGTGCATGGCGATGCGACGAATCACGGTGCTAGGATGATCTGCACCGCTTTAGCTTGAATGTAATAGAAGTGATCCAGGTGTTTGAAATAAATCATTGACTGGATGACTATGTCAGCGTAGGGAATTTTATAAACCCGAAAATTCCGAGCCCTTGTTTGGGCGTCGGATCCTCTTCCTCCTCTTCCGATGGATGGGGGCTGACTTGGCTTTCATAGAAAGCTCTACCCTACCGTATGGGCATTTGTAAGATGAGCTTGGAGCTCAGGACCGTGCGGCAAAAGGTGCAGGGCCCCGGTTCTGTGTACACACTAGCTGTGGAATGCTAGTATCAAGTAGGGCAGGTGATAGGGTGATGTCAGCTAGCACTACTGCGAGAGCACCGTACTCCTTGACTGGAATTTTCCCCCTTCTCTCCTGCGCAGATTTTTGTCCCTATATATATCGTGGAACGTTGCGCACCTTTGCCGACTACCTTCATTCGGCAACTTGTGGCTCGGTCCAGCTTTCGCTCTACTGTTTCCCGCAAGAAGGATCAGAGAAGTAGGAAGACCCGGCTTTTTACTGAGTAACAGCCCAGTCCTGAAAGCCAGTATGGTGTCTGAGGCTGAGAAAGCTCGCATATCTCCTTCTCTTCAGAGTGTTACACAAGAGGAGTTGGGAGATCAGACGCCTTTGAACGCACATCACAGATCGAGATACCAACGATGGGCGGGAAACATCAAGGGCCTCGAGGCCCGTGGAATTGAGCGAATCCCGGTTGAGGAACGCTTGAAGGCTAACCCATCGATATCGCTTCATATGCTGCTTATGTGGTTCAGCATGGGGATGTCCTTAAACAACATGGTCGTCGGATCGATGGGAACACTGGTTATGAAGTTAAGCTTCGCAGATGCTGCTCTCTGCGCAATATTCGGAAATCTTTTAGGAGGCTTGACGGTTGGGTACATGAGCACCTGGGGGCCTAGAAGTGGGAATCGCACTCTTGTATGCTACCTCCATTGCGCATAATTTCTGTTCGTCCCTTTCCCTCCTCTCCTGCATTCGCCCCTAATTTGCTTGTTTCCACGTCACAGAAGGAAGAAGCATACTCACGCCTCATTTACCTCCGATAGATAGTGACCCGATATTTTATGGGGTACTACCCTAGCAAGATCTGCTGCTTGCTGAACGTGCTTACGAACTTGGGGTATGGAATGATGAATTGCATGATCGGCGGCCAATTACTATCAAAAATATCAGGCGGGAGCGTATCAGTCGCCGTTGGTATAATTATTGTCGCGCTTGCGAGTTTGGTGATGGCTACATTTGGGATGCAGATCTTTCAGTACTATGAAAGGTACGGCCCATCCGTTCTGATCCTGCCAGGTTCGCCGGTACTAACTCTCGACGTTGTGTGCACTGCAGATATGCCTGGTTCCCGCAGTTGATGGTACTTTGCATTATCACCGGTTCGGCAGGGCCCCAGTTTGATTTCCAGAGCCCGTCGGTGGGTTCCTCGGGGGAAGTCAATGCCAAACGTCTGGCATTCTTCTCTCTGTGTTTGTCTGTGGCCCTCTCATGGGCACCGTTAGCTGCAGACTATTATGTCTACTATCCGCCCACTATAAGAAAATGGAAAATATGGTCAATGACAACGATTGGTGGATGTCTGGCGATGATCATCACTCTTCTACTTGGAGTCGGTCTCGGAAGTGGTGTGGCGAACAATCCAAGATGGGCTGCGATATATGATGGTACTCCCGGAAGCTTATTGATGGCTGGTTATGGTAGACTTGGCGGCTTTGGCAGGTTCTGCGCGTTCATCAACGTTGTGACGGTAGTTTCCAATAATGCCCCGGGCTCATATTCCATGGCTATGAATTTCCAGATGCTCGGACATGTGTGGTCGAATATCCCCCGTCCTGTCTTCACTATTACCACCACTGTGGTATACACGGCATGCGCCATTGGAGGCCGTGACTTCTTGTACGAAATATTCAAGAGCTTCCTGCCACTTATTGGTTATTGGGTTGTCATCTGGTTCACAATTGTTGCGGAGGAAGACTTGCTCTTTCGACATGGAGGGTATGACTGGTCTGCGTGGAACTGCAGGCAGAAGCTGCCAGTGGGGGTCGCTGCTGGCCTAGCTTTCCTAGTTGGCTGGGCGGGAGCAATTGTAGGAATGGTATGTTACATTATTCATCTGCTTGAGATCACTGCTGACTCTTGTCCTCTTCCTGATAGGATCAAGTGTACTATACGGGACCGGTCGCGAACGCGGTCACTGGAGGCTGTGACCTAGGAATATGGCTCGGTTTCGGCTTCACGGCCCTCGCTTTTCCCCCACTAAGAATGCTGGAGTTGAGGGTGATTAGCCGCTAAGAGAACATGGATCACTTCTTTAAAATGCCTCCCACAGGCGTTCATGGCGATCCGTATGGTAGAACGTTTGATTTCTGATTCATCCGTTATGCATATTGGTGTTGTGCCTCATACACCTCTGATGAGCCCTCTGCATGAGATAATGGAATGAATTTAAGCAGAGAGACACGAGTCAATGAACCCTGTATGTACGTTCGCATGACTGGTCATGCCCTCACGCTGTGTACAATAGATTGAAGATACATGTTAGAGGGTTGTCTTTTCAACTTGGAAATAGACACCTTTGCAAGATTTAAAATGTATACTTTTTGAAGGATCTATTGGAGATAAATCGTAATTCTTTCCTCGCATTGCTTATGCGAAGCACTCTATATCAGTTGCTCAGTGATAGTTGCCACTCAGTGTCACATCTAAACAGCCTGAGTGGAGGCCCACGACATTAGAGAGGACATGTAGGCGTACTTAGACTGCGACAATAGGACTTTATAGAAGCTCAACAAACCAGATGATGAAGCTTCCTATTGTCCAAAGGTTGGAAGCATTATGAGAACGGATGAGATTTGGTTTAATTCAAGTGAACTGCGGAGCTAGCCTAAAATTGGCTAGGGCACCAAGTGTCCACAGAAACCCTAGTAATGATGTGAAATATATAGCCTGACGTTCAAACATCATAATATCAGACTAATACTAGTACAATACTGTAATCAATGTTACTACCAATGCACCGCACTGGTTGCAAGGGTATCTCGGTGAATAAATAGGGCCGAAGAGTGCAACGCCTCCATCTCGCTTCTCAATACTGCGTCTTTCCTTCGGTGCCTTCTGAATATCACTCATTTATTTCGCCAGTGTACCTTACTCGGACACTAATTCAGCCCAAAATCTCCAAATCATACAAAAGGCAGTGTCTCTTATCGATCATAAGACAGCATTGGAGAACAGACACACGCAGGGCAAAAATATGTCCGTTGAAGCAGATGAGGGGGCTACTAGTCTCCCAAACCCGAGCCAAATTGCCTCAGTTACTTCCAAAGAGACATTGATGCCCGATGAGCCTCATGCCATCGACCCTTCGCACCTGACTACCCCGGAGAAGAGACTCTACGATTTCTTATGCTCCCAAGGATGGACTGAGACACAGTGTTCTTGTTACTTCGCTGATATCGAGGCGATGAAAGAGGCTCTTTCCCACCATTTCTACTCGCAAGGTTGGAGCGACGATCAAATGCAAGCTCTTCACGAGCGCTGCCTGATAGAATTGCCGGAGAATTTCCCGGCTCCTAAAGGTGATGCCGATCAAGAAGATCTGCAGATGCAACTGAGGTTAGTGGAAGAAATGAATCGTAGAAAGGCGATTGGGGAGCGCATGTACCCATCAACTCGGACTATGCGAACGGGGATTGCTGAGGAGAGAGGGGTTTGAGTTGCAACTCCCTCAAAGCATTATCATTATTATATATGACCATCTATCTTTGCTTGGCCGGTATATATCTGGGGAAGAGAGAAATGCTGAATATTTGATATGCCAGATAGGCAAGAAGGAGTATGTACGCAGAGCTGGTGAGGTAGCTTGAGTACTAGTCAATAGAGGTGAATACTTGGGAATCAACCACTTTCCCTTGACTCTTGCCTTACACACGTCTAATATACAAAGCAAGCCTGCATAAAAAGGGCAAGCTCAAAAGGTGGATAATCTAGGAAACGTAATATGTCCGTTTAGTGAGGCCGTGCATGATATAAATCATAAATAATATAGAATTGTACTTGTCCCGTGATGTGTAAGTAGGTCCTCATTCTCATTATTAATGTATGTTAGATGAATGCTTGGCGAGCTGAACACGAGGCTGGTCTCCCTTTTCGACTCCACCTTTGATCTGCCCAACCTTTGTCTTCACCATCTCAACTGAGAGCTCTTGTGGCTGAGGCTTATTTATGGCTTTTGGTACCCTGAAGTGATACCCCTGTTCGGACTATTTTGCCATCTTCCGGGTTAGGTTACATCAGTAGAAGCCATGGGGAATGAGAGCCAGCCTCTTACGGCTGGCATGAACAGCTTGCCAATAACCCTGCAAACGTTTCTAGACACTACTACACCTCGCCAGCTGCTTCCATATGCTCTCGCTATTCTGTTAGCGTATCCATTCTTGGTCTCGTTGTTTCGATTTCGCCGATCCCAATGGCTGCACCAGAAGTACCGGTACCCCACTCGGGAATCCCTGGCTAAAATGACTGACGACGAAGCTTGGGAGATCCAGAAAGTGCTCCTACAACTGGAATTTCCTTTCCTCTTCGTTAAAGCCCTCCAATTTGCTCTTTTTAGGGTTCGGCTCCTCTCCTTTCATCTGATTGGTTTTCTATACTTGTAGGAACCTAAATTGACCCAAGTTGCAGACCTACGGAATCCCCACTATATCCGGGCTGCTCACCAAGACCAGCCAATTCTCCAACCCGGAGACATCTTACAAGCGCTACGCAGACACTAGTGCCCTAATCCAGGAATTTATAGGCAATGCTCCGTCTTCAAAACGCACCATCACAGCCATCGCTCGTACGCGTTTCCTCCACAATGACTATCGCACCTCGGGCAAGATCTCCGAGAATGACATGCTCTACACGCTTGGCCTCTTCGCCATCCAACCCATACGATTCATTGAGAAGTACGAATGGCGCCAGCTAACCGACCTCGAGAAATGCGCCATCGGCACATTCTGGAAAAGCCTAGGCGACGGCCTCGGAATTAGCTACGCGGCCCTCCCCTCAAACAAGGCAGGTTTCCGCGATGGCCTCCAATGGCTCGAAGAAATCATGGCCTGGAGCGACGCCTACGAGGAGAAGTGCATGGTCCCCGACGTCAAGAACCGGGAGACGGCCGATCAGACCACCGCCGTGCTACTGTACATGGTCCCGAAGCCGCTCGAGCATGTCGGGCTGTACTTCGTCTCCTTCATGATGGACGACCGGCTACGACGCGCCATGCTGTAAGTGTGCCTGAAACGTAGTTCCCTCTGTGTAACGATTTAATTAACCCGATATAGGTACGACCCTCCGCCGGCATCATATGCTAAACTATTCTCTTCGCTTCTTTCCATTCGCCGTTTCGTCATACGGTACCTGTCGCTTCCGCGGCCCTATTTCCTCCGTTACACGACCTTCTCGGAGGAACCGGACGCGGATGACCGTATCTTTATCACTCAGTGGGATGCTGCGCCTTATTATGTTGAACCGACTTTTTGGAGTCGGTGGGGCCCCGTTGCATGGCTCACTTGGGCTATGGGTCGGCCTCTTCCCGGTGATCAGGGCGATAAGTATTACCCGCGGGGGTACTACACACCTGATGTAGGGCCTAAGTACTTTGAAGGAAAGGGGCGGGCGGCCCTGGACAAGTATATGCAAGATTTGAAGACTTCGCGAACAGGGAAGTGTCCATTTGCTGTTTAAGTGTGGACGGCCTGCGTTTCTATGGTGGATGGTTTGAATTCGATACCTATTTTTGCCACCCTCTAGGGGAACCTTTGATGCCTCAATCATGAATTATTTCTGCTATGATGTGATATGGCGCAGCTAGTGAAGAGAGCTTGATGATTCCATGTTGGAAAGTACTATGGGAGATTTGATACTGCAAATTGCTTGGTTGAAGAAAGGGAGCATATCTGAAGTTATCATAGCATACTAATATCTCGGGCACTTATTCTTCTACCTTCAAATATTCTAGGGACTTATTCTAAGAGTCGTCTGCGAGGTCGTCAGTAGTTCTAGCAGACTTGCATAGCTAGGCTATTTACATGGCTGCCATGCAATTTTCCTGTGAAGCACTGCTGGCAGAGCCAAGAAAGGAATACCATCGAATAGAGCAAAAGGAAACAAGTGAAAGAACGTCTTCCCGGCAATATATTGACTTTTACCCTACCTTAATCACTCGATTAACTTCTTTATTCGTCTTGATTGGTAAATTGCTGAGCCGCGCGCTTACGCTCCAGCCCACTGCTGCCTTTTAACATAGATCTCGCATGCATCAAAGGGTGAAAAGCACGAAGCCTACGCATATTAGGCAAAGTGAGGATATACGGAGTTCTCAATGCAAATAACACTTGTTATTGTCATTCTCTACAAATCATAACTTGTGCCTCTAGCAAGCCGGTCCTATTGACCGTTTCATCTTCAAAATCCTTAAGATGCGTCCATTCTTCCATTCTCTTTCTGAACCCTCTCGACACGAAAGCTCTTATGCTATCGACCCAGTCAACCTCCCAACAGTCTCAAGGCTTCTGGCGCACAAGTGCGACAAGAGCAACGAGCCCTAACCCGAGGCATCGCACCCACAGCATCCTTATACTGTATGTACGAGTACCTCGTCATCGGGTTCGCCCAAGGTCTACGGAGAGAGATCGAGTTCTTTTTTAGTCAGCCGCTGTGGGCGGTGGTAGCGTTTAACCGGCTGATCGAGCGTGGTCTTCCGTTGGGGAGTCCAGTCATTATCAGTGAAGCAGTGGAGGAAGAGCTGAAAGCTCGGGAAATTGTGCTGGAAGAGGAGCCGTGTTGGGTTAGGGATTTACCTAGATTAGAGCAGACGTTGGTCATACGGGATAGTTCTGGAGAGGTGCCAGATGAAGAGTTTAGGAGCGAAGAGTCCCTGATGAATATTGTGGCGGAGCACCCTCATGTGTCGTCTGTGTAGAGAGTGGTAACGATGGTAGTCGCCTGGATCCATCCACTATGCTATATGGTAATTTTGATAGGGTTTTGATACTCGGAGTCTCGAAAGCCGCCCACGATGGATGGGTTGACAAGTGCACATTTTGCCTCGGCGGTAGGACGAAAGAAAGTCTGCACAAACTCCTTCAGTATGCGAATAAGGTTCCAGATTCCACCCCCAGAGACTACAGTGCGTTCGTATGCACTCTGAAAAGAGTCGAAATGCAGCCATTCGGTCCCCGCGCCTTCATGAACATGTCCAAAGACATGTAAGCGTGGGCGAACACGCCAGAGCTCTCGTAGGAGATGCACACAGCCAAGATTGAGCAAGTCCAGATGGGCGCGGGGCGGGGCGTGCGTTACCAGAATGTCGACATTAGCTGGTACACTACCACTCCAGATGTCCTCGGAGCGAAGGTACTGGAAGGCCCAGTTACCGTGACGTGGTGAGTAGGGACTGCCGTACACACGTAGACGGCGCCCATTGTCGCAGGTGATGGTCGTTTCGGTATTCTGGAGATAGACTATATCCCCCCAGTCGAGGTCTTTGTACCCTTCTGTGGAGGTATGAGTAGATGTTTGCCTTTCTATTCGGCGAAAGTTAATATCAAGAAGCAAGTCGTGATTCCCAGCAATGACAATTTTGGTTCGATGTGGCTGCGCGTGTAACCAGTTCACTGTCACTTGTAGTTCCTCAAAAGACCCTGATTGAGTCAGATCACCTGCATGAATAAGGATGTCGCCGTCTGGAAGCGTGGGTTGGCAGTTATGTGTGTCAGAGATGCAGACTATAGAGATAGGGTCCTTCACTGGTTGGGCGGGAATGATGGGCTGCCAGGTGTACAACTTGCGCGCAAGAAAGATGCATGGATGCTTCAGGAATTGCTGCCAGGCTGGTGGGCGCGGTCGGCAGAGGAGAGCGTCAAGGCCATTACCCTTCTTTTGAAACAACGACATTATCAATCAATTGTACAGTTATAGTAAAGGTTGTTGTTGAAAACATTTCTGCTGGTGATGGAAGGGGTCCCGGAGTATTTAGTTTTGTTGTAAATAAAATTCAAGGTGCCGCCGCTTTAACAGCCACTTTGACCCCTTTCGGGAACCCTTAGGGAGGCCATCATTAAGAATAGGTTGAAAGGACTTGTTTGACGTAGTGTTTCCATAGCCTGTACGTGGAGTCCTACGAATTCGCCCGGTGCTAGGCAGATTGAAGCTTTTCCATTGCTTGGGAAAAGTGCCTAAATAACGGAATGCTAGTACTAGGTTGTCATTAATCGATAACAATGCCACTCAGTGAGGGTCGGTGGGCGTATATGCATGTGTACCAAATCTTTTCTCAGCTCTAGTGAGCTTATATATACGAGAGAGTAGGTCGATTCCCCGGGGACTAGACTACACTAGGGCATCAACTAATCTCGCATCCAACGATAAAGCCTTGGGTCCCTTGGTCTATAACTCAGCGCGTATAGGTCAGTCCTAGTACAAGGATTGAAAGTAGAGCTCAGAAGCCGAATGATTAGACTCGCAAGGCTGAACATCAAGCATATATGTTAAATAAGAATGTGAAGCTTACCATTAATATGCTAGCATCATGTCTTCGCAATATTCGCTCATCGAAAACGAAACCTATGAAGATGAAAAGGGCCTCGATGTAGTCAATGTATTGGACGAGACGCCGGGCCAAATAAGAGGCGTTGAACAGGAAGGAGAGATTAGACAGGTTAGACGGGGCAGACTAGCACCACTGCGATTGGAGTGCTGTTATCCTTGCAAGAAGAAGGGTCCCAAAAACGAGGAAACCATGATGCACAATTTGTCCGTGGCGTTAATAACTGGGATATACACACAAAGAGGAAAGAAATCCCTAACAATTGTATGGTTATTTAGTGAAAGAATGTGTACTGTACGAGATATGTCACTCTGCCTAGCAAACAGGGCAAATTTATAGGGTTAACCGCCAGTTTTTGTTTGTTTGTCTTCTCTTTCTCTTAACTTGGAACCTTTCTTTCCCCTCTGTTTTATCATTTGAATCCTAACTACCCCTAGAGGCTACCTTTCAATAGAATCATAGTACGCTAAAACTGATTTTCTATTCTACGGCTGCAGTTGACATGATTCAATAAACCAGTATTATGTAAGATGCTCCAACTCCCTCTACTGCAGTATCCTGACGCCCTATGGTTGCATCAAAAACAACAACTGCCCCTTCCCTCTGCGGCACGTCCACAACATAAGTATTAGTGATGGGGGTCATCGCATCGTTCTCGATCTCCCCATGCGAACTCTCATAGAACCGCGGAAACCCAGCCCCAGGCTCAATGACGATTAAGACATTGTAAGTGCCCTTCTCTACCCGAGGCTTGTAGATCGACGTCCCCTTCGGTCGACCCAGATATTGGACAAACCAGCGATTCAAGCACGGCTTATTTCGCAAAGTCGGTATGGACGGCTTCATTACCTAAATCAAAAAGTCAAACTTATGCTGTGGATAACGGTCTCTCGTCTCTCTCTCTCACAACGTCAAAGTAAAACATGACCGCATCGCAATCACCATTCCAGTGTAACTGGATCTGTCGGCTTCGTCGCCGTATATCATCACGTGTCTTCTGCAGATGTCGCTGAACGTCTGAAATGAGTTTGTCGTCGACGTTTCCTGCGACGATGATACCTGAAAACTCGAGGTCTTTGTCTAATTCGAAGCTCTCGGACATAGTGGTCGGTTGTGAGGGTTGATTGTTGTCCAACAGAAGGTGGGGTTAGGTAGGAGGTGGCACTGCGCCATGATGCAAGGGGTCGCCCTGTCAGTGCGCAGGTAAATGTACACGGGGATAGGCGTCATTTTATAAGGACAATGTGAGAGTGAGGCTTAGGAGGTCATCTTACTCTTATGGTTTGTACATCTGACTACAATGGAAATAATCGACTAAGGTCTTTAGGTCTATTTCTAGGGCTTTGGGTCGGAGCTTTTCGATTCACAGGCTGTATGCATGCAACTTAATGCGGTATATTTAGCAATCCGTTAGGGCCTGGCGAGTATTTTTGGGCATCTGTAGACAAAGGATCAGCGTCTACTATAGGTAAGAAGCTATTGCACCCCGCATGTTAGCCTCTTGGTATGAGGGTGATTTGAGCTATTTGGGCATGAGACTGCACAATACATATGCAACGAAGTGTTCCTCGTGTTGGACTAGTTTGTTACCCAGAAGCCCTTGGCATGAGTTTGCCTTGGTATAGGGTATCCATACTCTATTTATTGTTTCGATTCAATTCAATCTGAAGAGTGCCTTCTTGTTTTACCGTGTACTAAAAATAAGGGGTTAAATGGTGCCTACTAAAACTAGTAGCCTAAGGCATAAAACGCTTAGTCAGGATTTGGAAGCTGGTCTCGACCAATGGAACAGCTCCTGACCGTTTCATTGTCACCAAGTTTCCCCCGCAACCCCCCGAAACGTCGATCTAGTGTCTGGGTGTCCTCCCCGATCAACTTGACTACCGACTATCCTTTCTTCCTATTCTATCATCACAGTTATACCAAAAAGTTGCTGCCCGTGATGGCTTCACCCAGCCCCGACGGCCCGTCGTCGAGCAACTTCCCTCAGGATCCTTCCGAATTCGACAGCGACCCGCGCATTTCCTTCTCGAAACTGGACGACAAATTCATTTTGGAAACAGATGATGGCCAGGAGTTTGAATACGATACGGCCCTGAAGCGATGGATCCCGACGGTGTGTGCGCGCTTTCTCTCCAGCTGGTGATTCCTGTTGTGTTTTTCCGGCTGTCGAAATCCTGCTCTGCTGTTGTTTCTTATTGCGACTGCGCGTGAAAGCGCCGAAGAACCTTCTTCCGTTGCAAATATGCTGGGCTAGCTATTGCTGCAAGGATTTTGGATGGTTCGTGAAACTGATCTTGTGGTGGGCGCGGCTTTTGCGCGCCCGTGGGTGTTTCTCCAGGTAGATGAAGAATTGCTCCGAAAACAGCAAGAAGCCTACAAAGTCCAGGGCGTAGATGACAGTGACGAAGTCACGGCATCGCAATTAAAGAAGAAGCGCAAACAGCAAGCGACTAAAGATGAGGTTGGTTTGCTATCTCACTTCTATGTTGCAGGTAGACCTGCGAGGCTGACGTTACTGGGTTCTACGTAGGGAAACGGTCAAAAGTCGAAGAAACCTCGAGTGAACACGGCGGTTTACGTCACGTCCATTCCTCTTGATGCCGACTTTGAGGAGATTCAATATGTTTTTTCCAAATGCGGTGTCATCGCCGAGGAAATCGACAGCGGTCGCCCACGGATCAAAATGTACACAGATGATGATGGAAAGTTCAAGGGTGAAGCTTTGGTCGTGTTTTTTCGCCCTGAGTCTGTCAATCTCGCAATACAAATGTTAGATGACTCCGATTTCAGGCTAGGAGTAACAGGACCACAGGGGCCAATGCGGGTTCAAATTGCGGATTTCTCTTACAAGAGCCAACAAGAAGCGCCAACCAAGACCAGCGCGAAAGATAAGAGAAAGATCATTCAAAGGACCCAGCGATTGAATAAGTATGGAAACTGCAAGGCACGAATGGTTATTTGCTAGGATAAACTTGCTAACGTGGACTAGCAAACTTGCCGATTGGGATGATGACGACCCGTCTGCCTTGCCAGAAACCAACTCTAAGTTTGAAAAAGTGGTCATCCTGAAGCATATGTTTACCCTACAAGAACTTGACGTAAGGGCGGTTTCTCATTTTATATCCTTCAGCTGTATTCAACTGACAATCTTAATAGGAGGATCCGGCAGCGATTCTCGACATCAAGGATGACATTCGTGAAGAGTGCTCTAAACTAGGAGAGGTGACGAATGTCGTTCTTTACGATAAGGAACCCGATGGAGTGGTTAGTGTTCGTTTTCAGGACCCAGAAGCTGCTAGGAACTGTGTGAAGGTATGTGCACCTTGGCGTCCGTGACCTCAGAAATCCCGAGCCGGATAGTATTAACGGCCGTGCTCTACAGCTCATGGATGGCCGTTACTTCGGTGGTACACGCGTTGAGGCTTACATCTCGGATGGTGGCGAGAGATTCAAGAAGACCAACGAGAAACGAGCGGCTCTGGAGGACTTGGCCGAGAGAGGATTTGATGCCGACGAGGATGAGGAAGAGAGACAGCGATTGGATGAATTTGGCACCTGGTTAGAGAGCTCTCATACTGTGGAGAACACTGCCAAGTGAGTGCTATGTCACCTCTAGCTCAGGGTATTACTCCAGTAGTGCATGAACCGAGGGGGAATTCCCGCGGTACAGAGTTGCGGAGTGCATTTTCGAGAGTAAAACAGAAAGTCTTCCAGTGTACTATATTTACTTTGGACAATGTAGAATTGTATTAAATGATGGATGTCCATGGACGATGGACGATGGACGATGATGTGTAGATGATTGATGATGTTGATGTCGTTGTTAATCAGACTGAATAAGTATAAGGAGTACTATTTCGGTTCGCGCCAAGGACAACGGAAATCGACAACTCAATTTGTGGTTCGCTCCTGCAGTCTCGTGATGGCGCTAACCGGAATAGGGGCAGACCCCCTATTCCCTGACCACTAACAAAGACCAACTGCCCGAAAAATAAACTAAAGCCTATGTTGACTTGTTGATCCCCTAACGCCCGCACAACGAAACAACGCTCCTCACCGCTCAACTTCAGGTCAACTTTCCTCCTTCTTTCCTCTCCTCCTTCCTTTTACTCCCCCCCGTCGACTGTCGTCCCCAGTCTCTCCAACAACTCTTCTCCAATACACCCCGTCTCTTTTTCTCGTCAACTTTTTCCATCAATACCCCCAATAACCCCGCCACAATGCGTGAGATTGTATGCTGTCCCTGATCCCGTATCCCCCCTCTTCAGACGCGTTTGATTGGGGATATAATACCCCCCTTTGATAGAGGCCCCCACCCGTACTTCAATGACACGAGTTTGCTGACCAAGTTTGTTCTACTATATAGGTTCATCTTCAGACCGGTCAGTGTGTAAGTACGACTATATGTCGATTATAGAGAGATTGTGGCAAGCCGTTGCTGGAATTGATACTAACCCTGATGCCCGTGGTAGGGTAACCAAATTGGTGCCGCTTTCTGGTATGTTTCAATTCTCAGATCAAGTCTGGGACGAAAGATCCCTACCGATGCATGGGATCTAATGCGTCCCATTACTTCTGCCACGTGTTTGCTAACGGTTTTACAGGCAGACCATTTCTGGCGAGCACGGCCTTGACGGCTCCGGTGTGTAAGTACAACCCGTGTACATCTCGAACGAAGGACAATCCGTTGGCGATGGAAGGGTCTGAAAGGGGTCTGACGGGAAGGATAGTTACAATGGCTCCTCCGACCTCCAGCTGGAGCGCATGAACGTCTACTTCAACGAGGTGCGTACCTCAGATTTTGCAGCCTCCCTAGAAACGCCGTGCAGGCCCTGACCACTTCTCCAGGCTAGTGGAAACAAGTATGTTCCTCGTGCCGTCCTCGTCGATCTTGAGCCCGGTACCATGGACGCCGTCCGCGCAGGTCCCTTCGGTCAGCTTTTCCGTCCCGACAACTTCGTTTTTGGCCAGTCCGGTGCTGGTAACAACTGGGCCAAGGGTCACTACACCGAAGGTGCAGAATTGGTGGACAATGTTGTCGATGTTGTCCGTCGCGAGGCCGAAGGTTGCGACTGCCTCCAGGGTTTCCAGATCACCCACTCTCTCGGTGGTGGTACCGGTGCCGGTATGGGTACTCTTCTGATCTCCAAGATCCGTGAGGAGTTCCCCGACCGTATGATGGCCACCTTCTCCGTCGTTCCCTCCCCTAAGGTCTCCGACACTGTTGTTGAGCCTTACAACGCCACCCTTTCCGTTCACCAGCTCGTTGAACACTCCGACGAGACCTTCTGTATCGACAACGAGGCTCTGTACGACATTTGTATGCGTACCCTCAAGCTCTCCAACCCCTCTTACGGTGACCTGAACCACCTGGTCTCTGCTGTCATGTCCGGCGTGACCACCTGTCTTCGTTTCCCCGGTCAACTCAACTCCGATCTCCGCAAGTTGGCCGTCAACATGGTTCCTTTCCCTCGTCTTCACTTTTTCATGGTCGGCTTCGCTCCTCTGACCAGCCGTGGCGCTCACTCCTTCCGTGCCGTCTCCGTTCCCGAGTTGACCCAGCAGATGTTCGACCCCAAGAACATGATGGCTGCTTCCGACTTCCGTAACGGTCGTTACCTCACCTGCTCTGCCATCTTGTATGTATCCCCGCGGCCTACGTGTTTTTGCGCTTTTCCTGTCCTTGAACTGACATGTCTACAGCCGTGGAAAGGTCTCCATGAAGGAGGTCGAGGACCAGATGCGCAACATTCAGAGCAAGAACCAGACCTACTTCGTTGAGTGGATCCCCAACAACATCCAGACCGCTCTTTGCTCGATCCCTCCCCGTGGCCTTAAGATGTCCTCTACCTTTATCGGAAACTCCACCTCCATCCAGGAGCTCTTCAAGCGTGTCGGTGACCAGTTCACTGCTATGTTCCGTCGCAAGGCTTTCTTGCATTGGTACACTGGTGAGGGTATGGACGAGATGGAATTCACTGAGGCTGAGAGCAACATGAACGACCTTGTCTCTGAGTACCAGCAGTACCAGGACGCCTCCATCTCCGAGGGTGAGGAGGAATAGTAAATGCTCCCCATTAACCCTACTTTGATGTACCCTTGCTGACCTTTTCACAGCCTCGACGAGGAACCCCTTGAGCACGAGGAGTAAACAGCTTCCTTCACTAAAGACTCGAATTGAGATCTGACAGCAATACCCTTGATAAGTCCATGTTCTCTATGGCTCTGGCCTGGTTAACGGGTCTAAGTCATCCCATTATTTTGTCAGAGCGTTTTTAATTACCTTCCTGTTCTTAATTTCAAAAGGCCTGTAGAGCCTCTGAGACTATTTAAATCCCACTGCACATAGTTCAAAAGAAATTCACTAGTGCAGAGTATTTTGTACAGCTCGTAGCACCGGATGTTCTACAGTAGGTCGGCAGTAGATCAAGAAGATATATCTCCAAGGCTTTGGTGGTGCGATTCTGTAAAGCGCAGTACTAGTTAGCAATTGGTTGGGATTTGTTCAGGGCTACGGGGTATTGGGTAAGTTATGGGTTTCCATGGGGTTTTGTGGTTGTTTTGTATTATTTCTTTTAAAATTGATATGCAAGTTGGATTTGGTTGTGAGGAATAATGGTATGCCGAAGGAATGTAAAAGTAATGAAATTAAAGTAAAATAGGAGGGAGAGAAGGGTATCTGAAATGAAATGACAAGAAACTGAATGGAGAAGTAGAAGAAACAAGGCCAGAAAGACATGTACTTCTTTTTCCATGATTAAGTGAGGAATCGGTGGAATAAACAAAAAAAAATACAAAAAAAAATTGTAAGGAATGATGAGGTTTACTAAATGTATATACAAACTTATCGCCGCTGGTTCTCCAGTATTAAAAAGTACCGTCAGCCTGGAACGATAATTAAGAGAAAGGGTAAAACATGGATATGAAGGTCGAATCATAGACAACTCCTCGGCTAAGCCTTGGCCTCTACAGTTGTCTCATGGCCAGTTGGAGTCAGACTGCGCTTCGAAGCGGCTTCGCCGATCTCGCTATTGGCCGGGCTGATCACGTCGCGGGTTATCTCGACGTAGTCATACTGTTTGCATGTTAGCAAGCGGATTCTTGATGGTTAATGCACTGAAAGGGGTAGCATACAGCAAATTCGCCAATCTCGGCGTCGTCAATGCCCATGATCTCGTCCTCTTCGGTGGCACGCAGGCTGAGGCCAGGGATTAGGTTGATGATGAAAAGGATGATGCAACTTCCGAAGAAAGAGTAAGCCATTCCGGAGACGGAGTCGGCGAGCTGGTAAGCCAGCTGGATATAGTTGTGGTTGATCCAGCCACCATCGATATTGGTAGAGCCGTCAAGGTGAGCGATGTAGTTGCTAGACGCAAATTAGCTGTTGTATAGATGAGAGGAGTTAAGAGGTTAGCTTACGCAGCGAACAGTCCGGTCAGAAGATTGCCCACGAGCCCTCCGATACCATGGACAGCAAATATATCAAGGGCGTCATCAACCCTGACCACATACTTGAGTTTCGTTGCATAATTGCAAGCGATCGCACCAACAACACCGAAGATGAATGAAGCCCAGGGAGTGACAAAGCCCGATGCAGGGGTAATGGCAACGAGACCAGCAATCACGCCGGAGCAGAAACCAACCGTGGACCACTTCCTCTCCAATCGGTAGTCCAGAATGCACCAGGTAACACCACCCACAGCCGCGGCGATATTGGTCACCACTGCCGCCATAACTGCGCGCAGGTTGGCGCTCAGCGCAGAGCCGGCGTTGAAACCAAACCATCCGACCCAAAGGAATACGGTACCAATGACCACATGTGTTACGTTGTGAGGGCGGTAGTTGAGCTCATGAGTGCCGTGTCCGCGACGCTTCCCAAGCATCAAAGAATATGCCAATGCTGTGCAACCAGATGCGATGTGAACAGGCGTGCCACCTGCATAGTCAAGGCCACCAAGGTTTGCTACCCACCCGCTCGAATTCCAGGTCCAGCATGCGATAGGATCGTAAATGATGGTAGTCCAGACAAAGCTGAAAACCATGCAGGGAAGCATGCGGCCCCGCTCTGCGACAGCACCAACCGCGAGTGCAACTCTGGCTGGTTGTTAGTACAACGATCCTGGGTCAAACGAGGCGTTGTTTTGCTTAGACTCACGTAATGCAGGCGAACATGCCCTGGAAAACAGCAAATAGAAGATCCGGGACCTTATCACTGCCAACGGACGGTGCCGCAAGGACGCCTTTGAACCCGAAGTTGTCCAGGTTACCAATGTATTTTCCGGCCGTGTGAGAGAAGGCGAGAGAGTAGCCCCAAAAGAACCACTGAAAGGAGACTATTCCGACAGACATCAACGATAGCCATAGTAACGAGAGTGCCGACTTCCGACGCGCGAGACCAGAATAGAAGAAACTTGCACGGTCAGCAAAGCAAGGAACTTGTTAGGGTTGGACTGAGTTGTCATACCCGACTCCAGGAATCATCAACAAGACGAGAGCGGTCGAGACAATAACCCATGCGATATCACCAGACTGGAACAGTTAGTCGGTTCGTCCGCACATGCAATTCATTGGGGTCGCCAACACTATAGTAGATGTTAAGATCCTCCGTCAAGGAGTCACCCCCGTTCCCGGTTTCCGAACCATTGTAGGCCACGGGGTATTCTGCCATTATGAATCGCCCCCCGCTGATAGAATCCCGCCAAAGTAGTCAGATACTGAGAAGTTCAGGTGGGTCACACCGTGGCTATCGCTGAGCACAGCAGATGTCCTCTGAGCTGAGGTAGGCTGAGCTAGGGTGTTTCTCGAAGCAACCTTCGACGGTAGGCAACCGGTAGGATCGATTCCTGAGATTAGGTAGGTGTCGAAAGAGAAAAATAAGAATAGGTGGCGTAGAGGCGATAGGAATGAAAATATGACCGACAGGGGCACAGGATGCAGGAGTCATAAATATGTACGCGACACCAGTCATAATAGCTAACAGCCCCAGGTCCACTATTGGACGCATTCTGGATTACCAAAGCTCACTGATTGGTATCATTCGATATCAAAGCCAAGAAGAAAAGAGAGTGGAGGATTACGAGCCAAGGCTCATCTGACTATTTGTTTGCAGGGTGGATAAGAAGCTTTCCGATAGGTAAAATGATTAACGATTAATTTTTCGTTGTTTTGCTAACATGTCTCTGTAATCTCTTTGACACCGATTGCGGAGTATTCCATGGGGCGATGATCGTGTGTGGATATTGAGACGATATCCAGAAATGAAGGACACTTGACAGGGCTATCGTATGTACGTAGTAGTAGTTGGTAGTACTTAGTTGGTCTTACCATAAAGATGGACCTGTACCAACACAAGAGATAGGGAACGGGGAGGGCCAATCAGGATCTCGATATCATCCTCCCAAGAAAAGATAGATAAGAAAATAAAAGAAAAGGAGGAAGGAAGTCAATCCCGAATCTTTTCATCGGCTTCAGCTTGTCTCCCGCTAAAAAGTGGAGTGAGTGTGATCTTCATGCTATCTCCATGTCAATTGACAACATATATAGGAAATTGAAAAGCTTCATTCAATACCCTTCTCACCATCACTCTACCGAATAGAATAAGGTACCCCCTACTTCTACTGAAGTCTACCAGTTTCATGTCACAAACCATGCCTTCAGCTCTCGTATCAGCCCGTTATCATGGCTCTCTTAGGGGCCAATCATCACCATCCGTGGGTGGCTTATCATCCCAATACTTTCCACACGTTATTATTACAGTCATTCGGTAGTAGTCTACTAACCTGCATGTAAACTGTTATCGTTGGTTGTTGTAAACCAGATATCATATCATATCAACCACTCCTTAATGCCAATTCCCCGGAGTATGGACAACTCCTCCGCTAGTCACAAGAAGCCCTAAGCGAACCATGCTGACCCTCTATTTTGCTTGGTTATACCTTTCTAGTATCTCGAGATTATCTCCTAAATCGGGTACCTGCCTTTGTTCCCATCATATAAAATACAACAACTGACCTTAGGGATGAGGTTGAAGTAGAGATAAGCATTTAAACTCCCATTGGCCAGTGGGTTTTGTGACCGTTCGGCATCCCGAGCGATATAAATATCTGGTTCTTGGCACTAGTCAGCGCTTGGCATCAAACTTGAAAGACTTCTCTTAGAGCCTTGCTACCCTTTCCCCCTCATCTATTGAACTTCATCATCGGATGAACTGCATTGAGCTAGTAATACAAGGTATACCCACCTCATTGGGCATGAACTGCAGATACACTCCCGACTGATGTCAATCCAACTTGTCAGTGACCGTCTTTATTAAAAGAGCACAATAATCCATCTAAGTAATCCCTGTAAAGTAATCTGCTCGATTACTCCGTGCTTGAACATTCTGTTTGCCACCAGCAGGCCTTCCCCAGAGGTTCGTTCTAAATCCAAATCTTGGATTCTTTTCTGGCGTGAGACCCGCATCCGCCAAATCGAGCGTCCAGTCACTGATCAACATAATATCACTTTTTGGATACATGCTACTATCGATCGATGGATATTCTTGCTGGGTTGTCTGACAAATGATGCATGTAGTCAAGGTCTTGCAGGTACAATAGCATAGATCTATAGACTGTCTGTAGAATGTGATCGACTTGCAATATCGCCGAGGATTTGGAATTCTACGACGATACACGTGATATCAGGGAGAGTAAAGTTCCAAGAAAGAAACATTTCCGTTTGCTCAATAGATTATCCGACTCCCTAGTAATAACCAGACTGCATTTATTCATTTATTTACTGAAGAGAGATATTGGTGATTAGTCAGCGCTCTCCAGGAATTTTAGCCACAATCAGTGACATGGAATGCACCGCCACAGTCTCCTATCTAATCCGCCAGAAGCTCCTCATCAACTCCCGCCGCCCAGTCCATGCGAAACGTATCAGGTTCGTGGATTCGAGACCATGGAGCACGCTGACATGAACAACAACGACTCTGATGGCTCGGGGTCTTCCGATGAGCTTCTGCAACAGTCTTACGCCAGATCAAATTCGAATTTTACCGACACTTTCGACGATCAAGTCCAAACCCCGGCTACCACGATCTCCTCTTCTCCCCCAACCGGTCTCCCATCTTGGGCGAGCTCCACAGCCTCACGTCCTCGTGGCTCCAGCGTCGGAACCCCAGCAGTCCTAGACAAGGTGACCCCGGTCGACGGTTCCCCAGATGTGAGACCTCAGCGCCCTGCGGGGCCAGCTAGGACACCGTCCAATACCTACGCCCCCCAGCGCCGCCCACCTCAATACATCAGCCTCCAAAATGACCGCCAGAGATCCTCCTCGGCAAAACGGAACCCCAGACGGGATCCCAATGCCCAGTACCGAGCCCAGGAAAAGGCCTATGTTCAACGAATTCGGGCGGATCCGCAAGCATGGTACAGCCACTTTGACGATGCCCAAAATATGAGCATAGTCGGTGATTCCGACATGGAGGAACCCTCTCCTTCTTCCGAAGTCCCATTTGAAGACGATGCTTACGACCCCGACATTCAGCTGTTTCTTACGGATGACAATCAGCCAACGCTGGAGGAGCTGAAGAATCCGAAGAACCAGGAAAGACTGGAATGGCATTCTATGTTGGCTTCGGTATTGAAGGGGGACGTAGTGAAGCAGGAAAAGCAACGACTGATAGGCTCTACCGAGTCTAAGCGGTCGTCAGCCCAGAATAACGCAATATGGTTGGGAGTCAGGGCCCGCACGTGTGGGCGGAGTATTGCCATGCAGCGAAAGTTGATCGAGGAAGCCCGTGCTGGCCTTGGGCCTATCATTGAGGAAATCATCAAGTTTGCCATCAAAGGTGAAACGGAGATTGGCAAGCCACCCATCAAGCAAGTGGAGGACATCGTTGAACAGATTGAAAGATGTGAAATGCTGTACTCCACGCATAAGGAACTGGAAGCCGCTCATCCTCGTGTTGCCTCGGAGGAATTCCGCTCGAGCCGTGAAGCCGTACTAGCTTGGCATAATACCACGATCCTCATCAACACGGAGCTTGCCATTTTACAGAAGTGGGTCGGGAATGATGAGCTCGACTTTACCAAAACGAAGGCCAAATCTGCCAATAGGGATCTGGCCGACGAGTCGTCTTTCCTCGACAGGATCATGAAAGAGGACGGCCTCAAGACACTTCAAGGGAAGCATAACATGCTCCATGGCATCAGTGAAGTCATCCAGAAAGCTAAAAATACTCTGATCGAAAATGCAAATGCTTTCGCTAAACGGCACTTGCCTCCATACATTGAGGAACTTCTCACTTTGATCAACTTCCCCTCGCGTCTCATCCAGGAAATCATTCGTGTCCGGCTATCTTATGCGAAAAACATGAGAGAACCTGCACAGCAATCTCCCATTCTGGTCGACCAAATGATTTCGCAATTTCAGATTTTAATGAGGGTCGCCGTCGACCTCAAGCAACGCTACCTGGATATTGCAAAGCCGGAACCGGGCTGGGACCTGCCCCCTTGCATTGACGAGAACTTCGATTCGGTCGTTCTAGATGCCTTGAAGTATTACTTCCGACTCCTGAACTGGAAACTGAATGCGAACAAAAATACGTTCAAAGAAGCGGAGATTCTCGAACAGGATTGGGAGTTCTCCAATCATATCGGCCGTCAGCTTGAGGGCGGAGATATCGAAGTGGCCGAACAGTTCAGGTATAGTATCTCACTTGTGGCGTGCTTGTATGGCCCTTGACTGACATGTACACAGTGCGTTGACCGCGAAGTCCCTCCAACGCTTGATGATCCACTTTGAGCGAGAGCTAGTAATACGTCAAAATGAGGACCCAGCCGACATGGACAAACGCTACAAGAGCGTCTTGGATTCAACCCGTATTCGTCAACGAAAACTCTACCGTTTCTCCCGTTTCCTCCGCCAGCTTTTCGAAAATGCTACAGAGTATAATATCCCGGCCGATGTTTCCTATGAGTTTTTCGAAGCGCTCCTGATATCAGACCACTTTCTCATCAAGTCAAATGCATCGGCTGGGCAGAAAGGCGTTTACCTCTTTGCGCATCATGCGTTGTGGAATCGTCCTGGCGATATTAGAGCTATTCTTGGAACGTCTTTCCGCGAGGAGGATGTTCCCAAAGACTCACCTCATGTGCCGTATATCCTAGTAATTCGTCCGGAGAAGCCCCTGAACTGGGCCGGCAAGGAAATGCAAGTGGGCCTTTTGGAACAGCCTACGGACCTGCGACTAGGAAAACTGCGTCTTGTCGTTGAGGGCACGCAGCAACGTCTGTCTAATGCAAGGCAAGAATTCTCTCAGTTGACTGGTATGCAACTTGACATGACTATCGAGCAACGCGCCAACCTTGGGCGGGTGAATGTGGAGCTCAACAAAATCAAGAAGATCTCTTTCAAACTGTCTATGACCATCATGGATAGTGTAGCGATCATCAGGAATCAGCTGAAAGAAAGAGGTGTGGAAAACCATGATCTCATCCAGGCATGCTACGCCTTTGCCACTGAATTTGGAAAACGCTCGTCCAATGTTGATCCAAATAGGCGTGCAATGAATAGTGCCAGGCTCGTGGAGCTGTCACTCGAGTGGGTCTCTTTCATTTGTGACGATTGCGATGCCGCTGATAGGAAGACATTCAAATGGGCGGTGTCGGCGTTAGAGTTTGCAATGGCGATAACCTCCAGCAGACATCTGCTGTCCATGGATGATATTCAGTTTGCGCTTCTGAGACAGAAGGTGGCCGGATGCATGTCGCTCCTTATATCTCACTTTGACATCATGGGTGCTCGGTCTTCCCGCGCCGCTCAGGCTGAGAAGCAGCGCATGGAGGAGCGCGCAGGAAGCAGGAAATTTGGTTCCAGCCGGATTCTGACAGATGTAGAGGCAACAAAGCTTGTTCGTGAGCAACGTATAACCCACCTACAGGAAATCGAAGACAGGAGAGTGGAAGAAGACGCGAAGCGCCAGGCCTTGGGAAGAGTGCTGGAAGGCTCTAATGAGGCTGATAGATCTCTCGCCGTGTTGTCATCATCTGCCACTAATGTGACTCTTCGGTGGCAACAAGGCCAATTCATCGGCGGAGGGACTTTCGGCTCTGTCTACGCGGCCATCAATCTGGACAGCAATTATCTCATGGCGGTCAAGGAAATCCGACTGCAAGATCCTCAGCTCATTCCCAAAATTGCCCAACAAATTCGTGATGAGATGGGCGTCCTCGAGGTCTTGGACCATCCGAACATTGTATCGTACCACGGCATCGAAGTCCACCGCGACAAGGTCTATATCTTCATGGAGTATTGCTCGGGCGGGTCTCTTGCAAGTTTGCTTGAGCATGGCCGTGTTGAGGACGAAACCGTCATTATGGTCTATGCTCTCCAGCTTCTGGAGGGATTGGCGTATCTGCACCAGGCTGGTATAGTCCATAGAGATATTAAGCCTGAAAACATTCTGCTCGATCACAACGGCATCATCAAATATGTCGACTTTGGTGCAGCCAAAATTATCGCTCGCCAAGGCAGGACTGTTGTTCCTATGGATTCTTTGGCCTCGGGGGGTCACAAGGAACCCATAGTGCCGAAAGAAGCACAGATTGCAAACCAGCGAGGCAAGAATCAGAAAACTATGACCGGGACACCAATGTACATGTCACCCGAAGTGATTCGCGGCGACTCTAATAAGCTGATTCACCGCCAAGGATCCGTGGACATTTGGTCCTTGGGATGTGTCATCTTGGAGATGGCGACTGGTCGTAGGCCCTGGTCGGCCCTGGATAACGAGTGGGCCATTATGTATAATATTGCCCAAGGAAATCAGCCCCAGTTACCTGCCCGCGACCAACTTAGCGATTTAGGTATCGACTTCGTCCGCCGGTGCTTCGAATGCGATCCTCTGAAGAGACCAACTGCAGCAGAACTGCTCCAGCATGAATGGATAGTCTCAATCAGACAACAGGTCGTGCTCGAACCACCAACCCCTAGCAGCGATCACAGCGGCAGCATCAGTTCCAATTCGAGCCGTCAGAATTCCTATCTGTGATTTTCCATTCCTCACCCGTTGCCTTCAATTACGTGCACCAATTACGTGTATATCTTCTCACCATTATTCATTTCTTAAACCATCTTCTACTCATGCTTCTTTCCTGCTACATTCTCTTTTTTCTTCTCGAAAGTGCCGCATATGTTCACCACCTTGTCTCTCACCACATCAACAAACTTCGCTTGATACCCCTTATACAATGACTAAAGCATGTTCTACCTGTCAACCACTTTACGTGTGGTGTATTCTTTCTTTCTTATTTAGCGCTGCTTTCTGTTACTTAGGTCTCAGGTATGGTGTTATAGGTCTGTCATACGATACTCTACAAACACGAAGGAGCTCGAGTGATTTGTTATCTATGAGTTGTGATATTCATGTCCTATCAATGAACTTTTGTTCTATGCTAGCTATATCTTGTTAGTCTCTAGTACTCGAAAGAGTTATTAAAGCCTGTAATTACTTATAATGCAAAAACTAGACCCTATAACGAGATTTTAAACTGGCTGCGTATATAGAGATCGGTGCTAATAGATCAATACTCTGATATCAATTTTGTGAGTATGGCTTGTAAGCAAGAAAGTGTCTATGATTCAAGAAAGAGAAAATACGGCTACTACTTGAGTCCGAGGGAAATGAATAGATCGGGAGAGAAAAAATGTAAATAGCCCAAACAAGTTGAACCGAGATCCTTCAGATGACGCTACCTATACGCACACAATGGTCCTACTGCAAATTGAGAGTTAAAGGCAAAAGACCAAGAGAGATAAAAAAAATAAAGGAATAAAAACAACACGGAGTGATAGTTGGGACCCGAAGAAACCAAAGAGGACGCCTATTTGAGAAAATACCATCGTAAAACCATAATCAAGTGTGTTGGAGATAGGGAGCGGCAGTGTAGAAGATAAGCATTCCTGTGCTTTAGGAACACTACACCGTGGATTTCAGCACGGGCAGAGACGATAGGATGGAATTAAAATGAGGGAATAAAGGCAATTAAAAAAGAATAGGAAGTAAAGGATGAGGGACTTGATGACCAGAACGATGTCCCTCACCACAAAAGCCGGTATCAACGAAATTCGACAGCGGGAGTGCAGCCGCGATCCTCAACGTGTTTGAGTTCCAACTGCTGGTACCTATAGGAACTAAGTTATTAGTATTGTGAAGATAACTTGGTAGGGTTAGTGGCAATTGGAACACATACTTCTCGCTCTTGGCATGGAAGTATATACCAGTCACGGTCCCTTCCACCTGGTTGAAGCAGATGTAGTAGAAGCCTTCGAAACTTGCACCCGAGATCGTTCTTACACGATGGTCGGGCACAAGGAAGTATTCCTTCCATCGCATAAAGATATGCTCACGCTGGGCAAAATTGCGGTACGTGAAATCCGGTCTTTTGGCCTGCTTTGCCAGTGGCCTCCAGGCGGGAAATCGTGCCCAGTGATGCATATCAGTCTTCTCTGTGGCGCCCCATGCTTCGTTTCTAGTTTTGAATGTATGTTTTGTTCCGATGATCTCTCCTTCGAAGAATGTTGTAAGGGTAGGATGATCCTCCGTGAGACCTACATAGATAGAGCGCAATTGGTCAGATACAACCATCTCAAACACGTCGGAGTATGAAATTAACCTTGGATTCTAAGATATCCACAAAGATATGATTCAACCATGTCAACATGCTTGATTTCTACATCAACGTTGTATATCTGACGGTCTGATTGCTGGGTGCCGGTGAATTTACTGCCGGGTCGCAGAAAGGACGAAGTGTAATTGGGAAGAAGCTTCGGCTGTCAGTAAAAGAGCCTAAGTCAAAAATAGGCATAGTTCTAATTGTTGCATACCCGTATATTCGAGAATTCGTAACTCAGAAGCGCACTAGTGGAAGGGGTGGTAACAGGTGGTGACTGGTTGGAGGAACGTGACGGTTCCCCAGCAGGACTCAATCTTCCCGCGACGGCATCCTCGTCGGATTTTTCCATACTCTTTGCAGACACTTCGGGCACAGCACTGGCCTTTAATTCATCTGTATTTGAACGAGTCATGGCATCATCCGACCGAGGCAGTTCGGGCTGCGCCGACGCAATGGCGGGGGAAAGAGCATTGTCGGGAGCATCGCTCTCCGCAGTCATGGATTCAGGGGAGTCTCGCCAGGATGACAATCTCTCTATTTCAGGCGGACATGTTGTGCGAGTGGAGATTTCTTCAGCGATCGATGTGGCATTCAGGCTTGGTGTGTTGTCACTCGGAGTCGGCATTGAGGCGAATCAGAAAAGGAATGACATCGGATCCGATTGAGTAAAGGGCTTCAAGCGAGCAAACGAGAATAGCAGCTCAGTAATGAGCAAGGACAGTGCAAAAGTGAATATGAAGACGGATGAAAGAAAGGAACTGAAGTGAAAGGGGAAGTGAATGAAGGTCTATTCGACGCATGAAGTCTGGGGCGGGCGACGCACTGCCCAAAGGGGATAAGCCCGCTGATCATGCGAGCGCGGGGGAGGCAAATCAGCGCTTGGAGCGGATAATGCCTGGCGGACCTTCGCTCTCAAGTTCAAATCCCAGGCATTCCATGTTTAACTTTCCCCATTCCAACTCTTTCTGGATCTGTAGAAATTTTTACTTGACTCCGGACTAGCACCAATGTCACCCAATTCTGCCGTTCATCCGAAGGGTATTGCATTTTTATTTATTTTTAATTAGTTTTTCTCTTGCTACACACTCTGCAGAATCTCATTGCATCATCACTGCCCGTTGTATACGTGTCGCGAGACTGTCTCAACATCCAGAACGCCCTGTATTTTGAATCCTTGAATTGAACAACAATCATAATATCGCGAGGTGACTGTTTTAGATAGGTTTGATCTGCGAATGGAGGGAGAAGGGGTTAGAAGAGTGTTTTCGGGAACCAAAAGAAAAAAGAAAAACTCAAGGCTCGGATATTACCTTGAAATGAAGAGAAATAAGAGAGAAGATGAAAGCTTTAAGATCCTGAACAAGGTAATAGAAAACCCGAAGACCTTCGGGGTCTGCAGATTCAGTCACATCTACTAGTGAACCGATTTTCGCGGTCTACACAATGCCATGCATGTTAACGATTGTACCTTGCTTTCATGTCAGTTCGGGGTTAGGAACGTACTTCGAAGGAGATATGCTCATTCCCGAGTCGGATTTCGAGTTCCTGTCGTCCGTCTTTGTTCTTCTGGGGCCACTTGGAATCATCCTCCCTGTTTCGCATTAACATCACATCTTAATTTTGTGAGATACCCGATCGCATACTTCATGATCTCGCTATCCTTGATGATGCGCTTGATCTCCTGGATCATCGACGAGCTCACGCACACTATAAGTATTTCCATTAGCGACGGGTGGATTATCAGGCATATTCCTTCTCCAGCGCTCACTTTCTTTGCGGATAAGGGAGTCATTGCGGTAGTTGGAGTTGTTTGCATATCGCACGGCGGCGCTGCGACCATCACCGACGGAACGGAAATCAAACTCTATGGTAGTCATTAGTAGCTGAAGAAGACCAAAATTGCGCTATCGCAAACCAACCTAAGAATTCATGTCCGAACCGCCCAGAGTGACCTGAGCTGCGGGACTGTCAGCAGCTGAGGAAACCTGGGCTAACCAGAATCCAATCCTTACTAGTAGCGGAGATAGAATGGCTCATTTTGAGTTTGCGTCGACATCTTCTCCAAGGCTCTCTCCACCAGCAACAAGGTTTTTGTGGTGGACAATGCGAGTTGTCAGCTTAGATTATATGAATTCGGTGCGGGCGGTGCCTGGGTCAGTCAAGTTGGTGCCCTTCGCACGGGATTAGGATTAGTCATCCACACACTCCGGACAGCTTGCGCTCTCCGCCGCGCAATTGAACAACGTTAGTTCTCCAAGACAACATTTCATGCTAGTGAATGCAAGGCTGGAGAGGGGAGTCAATTGTTTTTAAGTTCCTCCCGACCGCTTGCTTCATACGCCTGAGGAGAGTAGTTCCGGTACTTCTACTTGCCCGTCTCCCCTGAATGGATCCAATTCAATCAAACAACAACACTTGTACTGACCACATTTAGCTCTCCTCCCTCCTTATCCGTTCCTGTCACGGCCGTTCACTACGTAAACCCTCACCATGGCGTCGTTTTTAGAAAATGCATACAGTCTAGTCCATTTGGACAACACTGCAGATCAGCCTTCCTTACAGGAGCTGAAATTGCAGTTGGAGAAAGGCAATGATGAGACTAAGATGGAGACAATGAGGACGATCATCACGATCATGCTCAACGGGGATCCAATGCCCCAACTATTGATGCATATCATTCGATTCGTAATGCCGTCAAAGAGCAAGCCTCTCAAGAAGCTGCTGTACTTCTACTACGAAATCTGTCCGAAGCTCGATACGAATGGCAAGTTGAAGCAAGAGATGATCCTGGTCTGGTAAGCATGCACCTCATTCGGCCGGTATTGGGTGGCCATTCTAACGATCCTCCTTCCGTACAGCAATGGTATTCGCAATGACCTTCAGCACCCCAACGAATACGTTCGAGGCAACACCCTTCGCTTCTTGTGCAAGCTCCGAGAACCCGAACTCATTGAACCCCTCCTCTCGTCGGCCCGCTCATGCTTAGAACACCGCCATGCCTATGTGAGAAAGAATGCAGTGTGGGCTGTCGCTTCTATCTTCCAACATTCAGAATCACTTATTCCCGATGCGCCTGAACTCATTCAGGCGTTCCTCGACACGGAGACCGACGGCACATGCAAGCGCAATGCATTTGCAGCTCTCATGTCCATTAGCCATCAGAAAGCCCTAGAGTACTTAGCCTCGACATTCGACAGTATTCCGAATACCGATGAGCTACTTCAGCTAGTGGAACTGGAGTTTATCAGGAAGGATGCGGTGCAGAACGCTCAGAACAAGGTGGGTCATTGAAGCACAGGGATATGTTACGGCTGCTAACGATCAGAAGGCGAGGTATCTAAAATTGATCTTCGATCTCCTAGACGCATCCACCAGCACTGTGATTTACGAAGCTGCCACATCCCTCACAGCTCTCACCAGTAACCCCGTGGCAGTTAAGGCTGCAGCACAAAAGTTGATCGAACTATGCATCAGAGAGGCCGACAACAATGTGAAGCTCATTGTTCTTGATCGGGTTGACCAGTTGAGGATTCGCAACGAAGGTGTCTTGGATGATCTTACTATGGAAATTCTCCGCGTCCTTTCCAGCCCCGACATCGACGTTCGCCGTAAGGCCCTCAGCATCGCATTAGAGATGGTCTCCAGCAAGAACGTCGAAGAGATTGTCATGCTGCTCAAGAAAGAGCTTGCCAAGACCGTAGATGAGCAATACGAGAAGGTATGTTTACGATTCCTTCGCAACAAGCACCCAACTAACCACCTAAGTAGAATAGCGAATACCGTCAACTTATTATACAATCGATTCACAATTGCGCCATTAAGTTCTCAGAAATCGCTGCTAGCGTTGTTGATCTTCTGATGGACTTCATTGCGGACTTTAACAACAACTCTGCCATTGATGTAATCTCGTTCGTCAAGGAAGTTGTGGAGAAGTTCCCTAGCCTGCGCACTTCCATCGTCGATCGTTTGGTGTCGACTTTGAGTGAGGTTCGTGCCGGAAAGGTGTACCGCGGTGTCTTGTGGGTTGTTGGCGAATACTCTTTGGAGGAGAAAGATATCCGTGAAGCTTGGAAAAAGATCAGAGCTAGCCTGGGTGAAATCCCTATCCTAGCCTCGGAACAACGTTTACTCGACGAAACACCAGAAGAAAGTGCTCTCAAAGAACAAGTCAATGGCCACGCCAAGCCTTCGGCGCCAACGGGATCCAGAAAGGTGCTGGCAGATGGCACCTATGCTACCGAGAATGCACTGACTAGCCAGTCTGCGGCCGCTGCCAGGCTTGAGGCCGTCAAAGCTGCCCAAAAGCCTCCTCTCCGCCAATTGATCTTGGACGGTGATTATTATCTAGCAACTGTTCTTTCTTCCACTTTGACGAAACTGGTGATGCGCCATTCTGAAGTTTCTGAGGATGCTGCTCGGACTAATGCACTGCGTGCGGAGGCAATGCTGATCATGATCTCGATCATCCGTGTCGGCCAATCTCATTTCGTCAAAGCCCCTATCGATGAAGATTCAGTGGATCGTATCATGTGCTGTGTGCGTTCGCTGGCCGAGTTCTCCGAGAGGAAGGAACTTGAGACCACTTTCCTGGAAGACACTCGGAAGGCGTTCCGGGCCATGGTCCAGGTGGAAGACAAGAAAAGAGCCGCTAAGGAGGCTGTTGAGAAGGCCAAAAGTGCCGTCCAGGTCGATGACGCTATCCCTATCCGGCAATTTTCCAAGAAGAACGCTCTCGAAGGCGCGGAGGAAATTGAGCTTGATCTAGCCAAGGCCACCGGTGGTGACTCCACGGTGGAAACTGTTTCCTCCAAACTCAGCCGTGTGGTACAGCTCACTGGTTTCTCGGATCCAGTCTATGCAGAGGCCTACGTCACCGTTCACCAGTTCGACATCGTTCTGGACGTGCTTCTGGTCAACCAAACTCTCGAAACCCTGCAAAATCTGTCTGTCGAGTTCGCAACTCTTGGAGATCTGAAGGTTGTCGAACGGCCAGCCACCCACAATCTCGGACCCCGCGATTTTTTGAATGTGCAGGCTACTGTCAAGGTATCGTCGACGGACACCGGTGTCATCTTTGGTAACATCGTGTATGATGGCGCTAGCTCAACAGAGTCACACGTTGTCATTCTCAACGATATCCATGCCGACATTATGGACTACATCCAGCCCGCTCACTGCACAGAGACTCAGTTCCGGACCATGTGGACGGAATTCGAGTGGGAGAACAAGGTCAACATCAACTCCAAGGCGAAGAGCCTCCGCGAATTCCTGAAGCAACTGATGGACAGCACCAACATGGCGTGCCTGACCCCAGAGGCGTCGCTGAAGGGTGACTGCCGATTCTTGAGTGCTAATCTATATGCCCGGAGCGTATTTGGTAAGTAGAGTTAACCCATGTTGTACTGCATTCCCTGAGGCGACCGCTAACAATGCTACAGGGGAGGACGCACTTGCAAATCTAAGCATCGAGAAGGAAGGAGATGATGGACCGATCACTGGGTTCGTGCGGATCCGAAGCCGTTCGCAGGGACTGGCATTGAGTTTGGGATCCCTGAAAGGCCTCAAGGCCACGGCTGCTTAATTGATGTTGACCAGCGCTTGAATAGTTGATTATTACCCTTTTTCTATTTTCTTTATCTTATTATCATAGTATCTATTTGTACTTGATTTGCGCTTTTTGTTCCCTCTTCAGTGGTTTACTCTGATGGACGAATCTCTTGACTATATGCTTTCTTTTGATTGTACTGGATGAGAAAAAGACTTTTCTGTGAAATGAAAGAATTCTTCAAATAGACCGTCAATGGATGCTTCAATATACGTTTCTATGTGCTAGTTATCTTTCTGTATCGGTTCTGCATGAGTTGGTCATGGCATTCGAAAGGGTATGATATTAATTATCTCTCCAAGTGTTAAAGTGATCCATTGTCTCCACACCCCGCAGATCACGATGCCTCGGCTGTTGAAACGACCGGGGATGCGAAGGGAGAAAGCCACAGGAGTTGCAAAAAAAAAATGTTGATTCCCATGGTGAGGGACAAGCCCAAGAATTGGTCTCAGCGTTCGGAAACATGGTTAGGGATCGGCAATGGCTACCATTCTTCTTGGAGTCGATCGTAGCAGTACGGGCGGAAGTGCCGGAAGTAATATACATAGATTAGTGTATGTTGAAGAGGGGGAGATGGGAAAAGAAATTCCACCCTGTCTGTCATTTAGTATTCGTGGAGAAGAAAGAAAAAAAAGGGTGTCTGAGGAGGTGGGCCATCTGACATTTAAATGAAACCCAGTCAGCCAATTGTTAGATTTAATCACCCTTTGTCTGAACTCCGCTACCTATTTATCTACTTATTGACTAACCTAGCCCCAACTTCTCTCCTGTTTATGTTGATAAATTCGCTTTAACTTCCTATCCCTCAGTAGGATGCGATTTCTGTATCCCCACCCATCATATCAACCATGACTTCTTCCAATGGCCCTTCTTTCAACCATGCGGATCAGCCGGATTCTCAACACCGATTGCTGCAGCGCGATTCAACTCTGACGGTTGCTCAGTCGGTTTCTCTCACTATCGGAGCCGACTCCCTTCTTGTTGCCGGTATGTCTCTATGACCAATGAATGCCACAAATCGTAGAGTTCTTTGTTAATTAACCTCCGGTGCTGCAGACGAGCGCCCAAAGTCAAAAGATCAGCGCGCATGCTGTGGCTTGTTAACCAAGTCAAGTATGTAGCCTTTTTTGATTTTCTTCACCTTCTTTCTTTTCTTGGTGCTTTTTCCTGCGCTTTACTTTACTCTCCCTTTGGGGGGCGAATTTTGAAGAAAGCTCAATTTGACTGACTCTATCTCTCTCTCAGCTAAATCTACCCATCCCATTAGACTGTATAATATTCTTGACGCTGGTCTTTCCCCTGCGGGTTTAACCATCACCTATGCCAAACCCGTCGCCAAAGATAGTATCTCTGTGACTGCCCTCAATTACCCGATCGCTGAGACAGAGAAGGCAGCTACGCAGGCATGGATTTCACAATTGCTCGACGTCGCATATGGTGAAGCGCAACGGTACAAAAGACTCAAAGTTCTAATCAACCCATTTGGTGGTAAAGGTGCAGCTTCAAGGCAATACCACAACCATGCAGCGCCGGTCTTTACTGCGGCGCGCTGCATAGTGGACGTGCAGGAAACAACGCATCGAGGCCACGCTACCGAGATCGCAGAGCAAATCGATATTGATGCATATGACGCGATTGTTTGCTGTTCCGGTGACGGTTTGCCATACGAGGTCTTCAATGGTCTAGCAAAAAGATCGAATGCTGGAGAGGCACTGACAAAGTTGGCTGTCGCCATGATCCCTGGCGGCTCAGGTAACGCCATGGCATGGAACCTTTGTGGAACAGGCGATGCTTCGGTGGCAGCACTCACGATTATTAAAGGACTGCGTACGCCCATGGATCTAGTCTCTCTCACGCAAGGTAACACTCGCACTCTGTCATTCCTGTCGCAGGCATTCGGTGTCATAGCCGAGTCGGACCTTGGAACCGACAATATTCGATGGATGGGAGCACACCGCTTCACTTACGGTTTTCTTACGCGGATAATGCAACGAACAGTGTACCCATGCGACCTTGCCATCAAGGTGGAGATAGATGACAAGAGGGCGATCAAGGAGCATTATAATACCTACGCACACAACCCAGCTCCGCACCGTTCTCCCGAAGAGGCTGTGGAACAATCCAAGGGTCTTCCTGAGCTCAAATACGGCACTGTTCTCGATGATCTTCCCAAAGACTGGGAAGTCATCCCAGGCGAAGAAATGGGTAACTTCTACGCAGGCAACATGGCTATTGTGTCCAAGGACACAAGCTTTTTCCCGGCCTCCGTGCCTAACGATGGGCTAATGGACATTGTCACTATCAATGGCACAATTGCACGTACTACCACCCTAAAGATGATGACCGCAATTCCTGATAATGAATTCTTCGACATGCCCGATGTCAAGATCCGCAAAGCGACCGCCTACCGCCTAATCCCTCATCAGAAGGAAGGTTATATCAGCGTTGACGGTGAAAGTATACCGTTCGAGGCCTTCCAAGCGGAAATTCATAAAGGCCTCGGCACGGTGCTCTCAAAATCGGGGCATCTCTATGAGGCAGAGGGCCCGAGGCCATGATGCCATAACTAGAGTGTCCTAGTTAGAGTAAAGGACATAGAGGAGAAAGGACGGCGGCAACCGCGATGTCTTTTTGTTATTTATCCATATACTTACTATTACTGGTCTTTGCACTCTATGATACCCTCGCGCAAGACTTTGGAAGAAGCACAGGCATGCTTTTCGTGTGGTCGGCTTAGGACCCTCCAAGCTTGATATCATTAGCCAGAACTGGCTAGTAACTTGGATAGCTCCTACTCGGCGTTATATAATGTATACACTTAGCGATAGAATTCAATGGAAATGAAAAAAAATACACTTTTTTTGTGTCTATCCACTTCTCAGGACTAGCAACACAGTCATCGGATGTGACGAATATGCGATCGCTATAATTGCTCTTGAAAAAGAATAACACCATTAAGAAGACCTCCACAATACAGATCCCATTTTCTAGTAATACATCAGAATCAATCAAACCCACCCCATTCCTCGTCACTTTCATCATCCGAATCCGCAGCGACCTTCTGAGTCCTAAACCCCCACTCGATCAACCGCTCATCATCCAGCGCTTCCTGCGCCCGAGTCCTAACGGGCTTGTACGGACTCTCAGCGCGCAACTTCTCAATCGGCCTCAGGATAAGATCAATAGGGACACCAGCTTTTGGTTTGCGCTCGCCATCAGCCCCCTCCTCAAACTCAAGCACTTTCTCCAGCTCATCAATCCAAATATCCATGATATGGTACCGCAGCCCATCCGGCCCATGAGGCATAGCAACATAATCACTCTTCTCATCCGTAGCAGGCTGGTCGGGATCAAAGTTAAGCGGACAAAGAGGGCCCTCTTCAAGTATAGAGATATACGACTCTAGACCCGCCCACTTAGTCTCGTCATCCTGCTCCTCTTCCTCCTCCTCACGAGCCTCGCTCTGCTTCTTCCCCTTCGAACGCTTCTTCGACTTCCCGTTCTGCGCCGCCTCCTCTCTCTTCCGCTTCTTGTTGTCGTCCTTAGTCTGCGCCTGCGCGCCCTTCACGAACACCTCGAACGCAACACCCACATAACAACGGATCAGAAAGAGATACTTGTCCAGTCGCAACCGGTCCAGCGAGTGGAAGTCCCGACCGATAGTGATCCAGAATGCGCGCAGGAAGCGGTGGACAGCGGAGCGGGGGAGAGTCGGGACGAGAGTGTAGGAGAGATTCCGGGCGAGGGCTTGTTGTGTGAGGGGGCGGTCGGAGTGGTAGAAACCTAGTTTTGGTTGAGGGGGTTAGATTTTCCCCGGTATACATTTGCGAGTTGTGAGTAGCACGGAGCGTGGGGACGTACAGAAGAACAGGCCCTTCCAGAGCTTGAGTAGCTCCATCAGGGAGAGGTCTGTTCTGGAGCGCAGGAAGAGAGTTAGGGATTCGGTTGCTTTGTCCCGGATTTTCTTGTCTGGGTGGCTGTTAGCTTTGGAGTCGGACAGACGGATGGACATATGTGATCGATGATAGTGTAGGCTGGATTGGGAATGTACCGCTAGATGCGAGCTCCCGTACGAAGGGAGTCTTTTGTAGATCAGTCATGGTTGTTGTTGGTTTGTTGCTGGCTGAGATTCTATCTTCTGGCCTTGGAGATGGGTTGTGGATGCAGCGGTCTTGGTGTAGTAGGCTCTAGAGGGAATCTTCAGGATGATGAAACAATTTGGTTTTAAAATTAATTCATGTATTGACCCTGGAACGGGTTAATCTTCAACAATGCACTCACTAGAGATCAAATTTGATATGCTGTAGACAATCATACAGAGATAATCTTTTTTTTTTTCCTATGTTTGGTCTGTTTGCGCGGGTGGTTCTTGGGTGGAGTTCTACAAGAGCTGTGATTGGGTAGAGATGGGAGCCACTTGCAATGTGGAAATGCATCGGTGATGTGGAGAACTTTGATAACCTAGTCTGGATCAAGCAGAACTACTCATCAGCCTTCTCGATCTACTCACAGATTCTCAATATTACATCTAGAATGTCGGGTCTGCTGGAAAAGACACAAAGTTGATAGTATAATCGATTCCAATTATCAAACGGCAAAGCGCTAACAGAAAGGAATGTTTGCTTGGTTTGTTATCAGATCACCGGTATCTATTGATAAAGTCGGTTGCTATCAACAAGGATGCATACGATCGGTCCATTTCCATTGTCCACTTGTACCTAGTTTATCCCCAGTGTAGTATTTGTATCAAATAAATTACTGTGAAAGCCCAGGTCAGAAGCCGATTACCTACCATGAGCTACTCTTTTCTCTCAAGGTACGCTAGCGCTTCAGCTATCGGTGCCGATGAATTCTATTCTCTGCCACATCCGGTCAGGTCGCAAAAATCCCTTCTATATATAACCTCTGATGCCTCCATATTATTACAAACATTATCCATTCAGATCAATAATGCCGTACAAACGTCTAAAAACCCTGCGGTTACTCCACAGGGGTGTTACTGAGGCATTTTGTGGCTCCAGTTCCATGACATCACCACTTCCTGGTGGACGAATCCAAGCTCGAATGAACCTACTGAAAGTTAATTGACAAACATTAATGCCATCATCATTTAGGTGAAGGTAATATTTGACAGTATCCAAGTGGCGAATTGAGTTACAAAAGCAATATAAGAGCCTCCTCTTATGGTATCTCCACGCCCAATTCCTGTTGTCTGTTTTCTCGACTCTTGTACCCGTCTTCAATCGCATTCAATTCTCATTTTTACCGCGGATAATGCATCATCTTCTGCAACGTAAAAAATAAATTGCAACCTCTTTTCCAGGTTCTCACAACACCTTTTTCCGCTGCCTGGAAACCCATCACAAGTCTGGACCTATGACCGGAGATGACTGAGGGGAAACACACCAGCAGTAGCCGGTCGAGCTCGATCCAAGAGGATACGACAGGCACTGAGCCACAGTATCGTCGAAGGGGTTCAAAATTCGATGACACTTCGGTCTTCGAAAGCATTCGCCCCGAAAACAGAGCGGAGTTAACTCGCATTGCGTCAGATTTCCCCTTACAACGTCGTGCGACTAGCACTAGGGCCAGTGAAGCACCTCTCCAACGGAAAGATACACTCGAGGATATTGATCTCGACCATCCTTCTCTCGATCCTACCAGTGGTCAATTTGACCAATACAAATGGACTCGAATGAAGCTGAAGCTGATGGACAAGGAAGGCATTCCGCGTCCCCCTTCAACCGGTGTCGTATTTCAGAATCTCAATATCTCAGGATCAGGGTCAGCGCTACAATACCAGAGCACTGTTGGCTCAATTTTGTTGGAGCCTTTGCGCCCTCGAGGATGGCTGAGCTTCGCGAAACAATCCCCAGAGAAACATATCTTGCGTAACTTTGATGGTCTTCTGAAGAGCGGCGAGATGCTGATTGTACTGGGAAGGCCTGGTAGCGGCTGTTCAACATTTCTCAAAACATTGTGTGGGCAGCTGCATGGGTTGAAGCTCCGTGAAAGCTCAGAAATTCAGTATAACGGGGTCCCCATGGAGAAGATGCACAAAGAGTTCAAAGGCGAAGTTTTGTACAACCAGGAAGTGGATAAGCATTTTCCTCACTTGACTGTCGGACAAACGCTGGAGTTTGCTGCGGCAGCGAGAACTCCTGAAAATAGGCTACTCGGACTCAAGCGACAGGAATTTTCCAAGCATATCACCGAGGTTGCGATGGCTGTGTTTGGCCTACTTCATACGTACAATACAAAAGGTAAATCGCACAGTCTAAAGATTCTCGAGAGCCAAAGCAGTTAATACTAGTGTTCAGTGGGCGACGACTATATTCGAGGTGTTTCGGGAGGTGAAAGAAAGCGAGTTAGGTCAGTATGTCTTATGCACCCTGGTTATCCGCGATTCGCTAACTTGCATACAGTATAGCTGAAATGGCACGTAAGTAATTTAGTACCATTTGGTTTTCATAAAGTGTGAATTGACATGGCAACAGTCTCTGGTGCACCTATGGCAGCATGGGACAACAGCACCAGGGGTCTTGATTCCGCAAGCGCATTGGAATTTGTCAAAGCCTTACGGCTCTCCTCCAATCTAGTCGGTACGAGTCATGCCGTTGCAATCTATCAAGCATCACAGGCAATCTACGATGTCTTTGACAAGGCCATCGTTCTATATGAAGGACGAGAAATCTATTTCGGGCCCTGTGATGAAGCAAAAGATTACTTCTCCGGCATGGGTTGGCATTGCCCCCCGCGCCAAACGACTGGAGATTTCCTGACGGCTGTTACCAACCCACAGGAGCGTCAAGCACGGGTTGGTATGGAGAGTAAGGTTCCTCGTACGCCAGATGAATTCGAAAAATATTGGAAGAATAGTCCTCAGTATGCGGAGCTCCAGAGAGAAATTGATCAGTATCATCAGGAGTTCCCACTAGGGGGGGAAGCGGAGCAAGCCTTTGGAGAGATGAAGAGAGTTAAACAAGCGAAGCATGTTCGACCAGAGAGCCCTTATATCATCTCGATTCCAATGCAGATTAAACTCTGTACAATCAGGGCTTATCAGCGGTATATATCCATTCCTCGACTTTTCACCACACTCTTGCATTTCTTCGCATGCTAACTACCCTAGAATTTGGAACGATAAACCCTCTACTCTAACAACAGTCATTGGGAGAATTGCAATGGCTCTTATTATTGGTTCCATGTATTTTGGGTAAGTGATTTTACATCATCCTTACTTTGAGTATAAATTCTGACATCTATAGCACTCCAAATGCCACGGCAGGATTCTACAGTAAAGGAGCTGCTCTTTTCTTTGCTGTCCTGTGCGTAATCCCTTAGGTGTCATATCTAGATCCCAAACTAACCCCTTTGATTAGAATGAATGCCCTCATCAGCATCACGGAGATCAACTCTCTTTATGATCAGCGACCCATTGTTGAAAAGCAAGCATCATATGCCTTCGTTCATCCCTTCACCGAAGCATTTGGGGGCATTGTTAGCGACATACCTGTCAAGTTTGTCTCTGCCGTGATATTCAATATTATATTTTACTTCTTAGCTGGTTTAGTAGGTAACGACTAACCTTCCGATACGAAAGTGACTAACGCGGGTATACAGCGATACGAGCCGTCTCAATTTTTCATTTTCTTTTTGTTTACATTCCTCAGTACACTTGCAATGTCAGGGATCTTTCGAACCCTTGCTGCGTCGACAAAGACTCTTGCGCAAGCTATGGCCCTGGCTGGTGTGCTGGTTTTAGCTATAGTCATTTATACGGGCTTTGTAATTCCCGTTCCACAAATGCATGACATCCCTTGGTTCAGCTGGATCCGGTGGATCAATCCCATCTTCTACACGTTTGAGTCCATGATAGCAAATGAATTCCACGGCCGGCGGTTCATATGCTCACAGTTCGTGCCTGGATACCCCACTCTTAGCGGCGACTCCTTCATTTGCTCCGTCCGAGGCGCTGTTGCAGGAGAAAGGACGGTCTCTGGGGACTCTTTCATTGGATCGCAGTATAGGTACACATACACGCACGAATGGAGAAATCTCGGCATTTTGATTGGTTTCTGGATCTTTTTCACCGCAGTCTATCTATTAGCCACGGAGCTCAACTCCCAGACTTCGTCAAAAGCAGAATTTCTGGTCTTTCGACGGGGCCACACGCCAGCACATATGCGCAATCTTGATAAAACCAACGGAGACACTGGATCTACAGAAGTTGCCCAGGCCCATAAGGAGAAGAAAACCGAGAATTATACATCCGTTATACCAAAGCAGCAGAGCATATTCACCTGGCGAAATGTGTGCTATGATATTCCCGTGAAAGGAGGAGAGCGGCGTCTTTTAGATCACGTCTCAGGATGGGTTAAGCCTGGTACACTTACTGCATTAATGGGGGTGTCGGGGGCCGGTAAAACAACACTACTCGACGTTCTCGCTAAGCGTGTTTCTATCGGTGTTGTGACGGGTGATATGCTGGTAGATGGAAAAACACTTGATAATAGCTTCCAAAGGAAAACGGGGTATGTGCAGCAACAAGATCTTCACCTTGCCACGACGACCGTGAGGGAAGCTCTGCGGTTCAGTGCAGCCCTACGCCAGCCAAGGTCTGTCCCAAAGAAAGAGAAGTACATGTATGTCGAGGAGGTTATAGAGATGCTAAATATGCAGGACTTTGCCGATGCTATTGTTGGGATACCAGGTGAGGGGTTGAACGTTGAGCAAAGGAAGCTTTTGACAATTGGGGTGGAATTGGCTGCAAAGCCTGAGTTGTTGGTTTTCCTGGACGAACCAACAAGTGGCCTTGACTCGCAGAGTTCCTGGTCTATTGTTGCCTTCTTGCGGAAGCTTGCAGACCATGGCCAAGCAGTGCTTTCCACAATTCATCAGCCAAGTGCGTTATTGTTCCAGCAGTTTGACCGTCTGCTATTCTTGGCCAAGGGAGGAAAGACTGTTTACTTTGGGGGTATTGGTGACCAGTCTCGTACTTTACTTGATTATTTTGAAGGGAACGGAGCAAGGGCTTGTGGTTCAGAGGAAAATGTAAGTGCATTCTCTTTATCTAGTTTGATACTCTACTGACATAGGGAAGCCGGCCGAATACATGCTGGAAATCATCGGAGCTGGAGCTTCCGGTACAGCATCTAAGGATTGGCCTGTCGTGTGGAATGAAAGTCGCGAGGCCAGAGACGTACAGAAGGAAATTGATAGGATCCATCAAGAGAGGACTTCGGCATCCAATGACAGTGGCGGCACCCACCAAGGAGCGCAGGCAGAGTACGCCATGCCTTTTACGTACCAGCTGTGGTGTGTAACTCATCGTGTCTTCCAGCAGTATTGGCGTGAGCCTGCGTATGTATGGGCCAAAATCCTTCTTGCCGTCCTCTCATCGCTATTCATCGGCTTCACGTTTTTCAAGCCCAAGAGCTCTCAGCAGGGATTCCAGGACATCTTATTCAGTGCCTTCATGTTAACTTCCATTTTTTCGACCTTGGTGCAACAGTAAGTGGCGGGTCCAAGTCATCTTCTTCTAATCGCCAGCTAACGCAGGCATCAGAATAATGCCAAAATTCGTGGTCCAACGATCCCTATACGAAGTCAGAGAACGACCCTCAAAGGCGTACTCGTGGGCAGCATTCCTTATCGCCAACGTAATAGTCGAGGTACCGTATCAGATATTTGCTGGAATCGTCTCATGGGCCTGTTATTACTATCCAATCTACGGCGCCAATCAAGCATCTCACCGACAGGGACTCATGTTACTCTTCATCATACAGTTCTACATATTCACCTCGACATTTGCAACATTCATAATCGCCGCCTTACCCGATGCAGAGACAGGAGGAACCATTGCAACGCTGCTCTTCATCATGGCCACCACCTTCAACGGTGTAATGCAACCACCCCACGCTCTACCAGGATTCTGGATCTTCATGTACAGAGTGTCGCCCTTGACATACCTAATCGCAGGCATGACCGCAACGGGGTTACACGGCCGAGCAATCAGATGCGATACCGCCGAACTAAGTGTCTTCAATCCCCCCTCTGGCTCAACCTGTGGCGACTACATGGCTCCATATCTCCAAGGTGCACCAGGCGTACTGTACAACCCAACTGCAACACAAGGGTGCGAGTACTGTCAGCTTCGTAATGCCGACCAATACCTAGCCGGTAGCAATATTTGTAAGTCTCTCCTCCTAGGCTCTAGGCCCTAGATAAGCCTAACAAGTAGACAGATTACGGCGAGCGGTGGCGGAATTTCGGTCTGGGCTGGGCTTACATCGGGTTTAATGTCATGGGTACTGTTGCTTTGTATTACATCTTCCGAGTTAAGCATTATAACCCCACCAGCTTGGTGAGGGGTATTGCGGATAGTGGGAGGGTGCTTTGTCGGGTGTTTAAGAGACGGTCTGGTACGACGCCTAAGGGGAGGGAAGCTGAGAATGGGAGATTGGTTTAAATGCAGAGTTTTGTGTTTCCATTCAATTTGGAGGAAATATATTTCTCTCCACATGTTACATATCTCCTCTGATATACTTGATGTTAGCAATAATGCCATAGAACCAGGTGGATAGTATATAATTCAGTCAATAGCCATATTAAAAACAACATTAATACCACATCGGCTATTGAGGGTCAGGTATAAGGTATAATGTCAAATGTAGCTCGCAGACAGTCAACTCATCATAACGCGCTGGCGATATTCAAATTACTTATACTACGACAACTAGACAAGAAGTAGATAAGATGACCTACTGGTTTGCAGCCGAAGCATCATTGGTCTAGTGGTAGAATTCATCGTTGCCATCGATGAGGCCCGTGTTCGATTCACGGATGATGCACTTTTTTCCCCTCTTTTTATTCCCCACCCACATCTCCTATTCTTCTTTTACGATTCCTGTGTATGTTGATAATGTCAAGGATAGAGGTTTAGGCAGTGAACTGAGTAGTAGTCATGTGACCTTTTGCCTATAAGACAACACAACACAATAGCTTCATGTTCTCTTTTCTTTTCCTCTCTTTAGCTTAGTCTCTTCGTGATAGACTATCTAATCAACTATTGATTCAGCTGAGTCCCTTACAGATAATACCCCTCTATCGCTCACCTGTGCTGCAATTGATTATTCGCAGATTGTTCCCCATCCCTCGATCAGTCTACACTCCCAGAAAGTGCATCGCAATTGAGATGAATTAACTTAAAAATTGGATACCACACAGGCACCCATTTTCAATTAATCGAAGTATTCCTATGAGCGATAATAGCGCAGCCAAATAGATACTCCGACGCATTCAGATACGCCGACTTTGGACCACGAGATAACCACCAGTCAAACTGAGCAAGGTAAATTGACACCAAGGGCAACATGGGTTGATAGCAGACAGAAGCTATGACAAGAACAGAACATGGGGGGTATTATGCTGATTAAACAATAGACTAACTAGGGAAACGTCATAACGGTGATTATCGTTAAATACTGGAAATGTGCGCAGATTGAGCCAATCTCCGGATTAGGATATGGTTTGGGAAAGGCCCCATGGGGGTTTCTTCAAGAAATCGGGGGAAATATGACTAACATGATGGAGACCGCCGGGTGACGACCAATGCGTTGATCACATGGCCAGGTTTCCATCCTTGGTCGATTAGGGGTAGATGTTCCTTGAGGATTTTGCCTAGATAGGCGATTTTTATTCGTTGGGTCTTCGGGATCTGGACGAGGGTGCCGCCCGTTAGCTACAAGGCATATAATGGAAAAAAGTGGTATACCTCAGCTTCCTGTTGTAGTTTGCGGGCGATATATGCGATGTTCTGGGTTTTCCCGACAGTCACGATCAGATCGGGACCGCCTCTATCGCTTAGTCGCGCTTTCACTCGGATCAAATCTCGCTCGCTGATCTTGCCCTTCTCATCTCTGCGACGTTCGGCATCGTCTGCGATAAGTTCATCTCCCGATTCCTCATCCAACGATAGCTTGGCGTCGTCGGTGTCGAAGTCGTCGTCCGCTAGGTTCGATTGTACCATGTTCTCCGGATTGGCCACGATACACTGAGGTAGCCGATAGAGGACCCCTTGCTCGTCGTAGCAGCCTTGACAGAGGTCACCTGTAGGCACCGTGACCCCGGCAGCGTCAATGATGCTCTGGGCCGTGGTAAGATCGCCCGTCTGCATGAACGAGATCGACGCAGATAGCGCCGCCCAGACCTCAGTTCGGCCGGTTACTCGCGTCTCGAAGAACTCCTTGCGTTCCTGATCCAGCTGTGCGCGAGTCCACAGTCGGCGCTTGCTGTACCAAACATGGCGGCGAATAGGTGCATTGAAATTCTCATTGAGCGGTAGGTGGTCCGGGGCCGAACGAATAACGACACGCGCAGAGTTCGGCGGAACAACTGCGGCGGTATTTGAATGTGAGGATGCCACCGGACGGCGCTCTTCGGTGATAGCTTGGGTCGCATATGCAGAGCGGTTGTCGTCACGCGAAGTGGAGAAGCAACAGCCCTTGTCATTAATGTCAGAATAGAGTTACTTATAATAAAGTTGGGTTGACGTGGAGGGATACGAATCTGCAAGGATGGCGCTCGCTCGTCGTGGAATTGCGCATGACCCAAACAATCATCGCTAATCAATGGAGGAAATATATGGGTAGGGGGAGGAGGACTATACCATTTTGTAGATATGGATGACCGGACTCCATCAGCCAGAAGAGTAATGCGAACGGTTTCAAATAACCCCCGGGGTTGAGATGAACGGGAACAGATGGGAGGGGCAACAATTGATGTATTATGTTATGTTATGTTCCTGAGCGGAAATCGTATGACTGTCTAATGGCCAACGGTCGAGATCTGTCGCATGACGTAAATTCTTCTTGGACTGATAAGATTGGAATGATAAGCGCGAGAGGAAGGGAGCTAGCCTGGGGAGAGACTCCCGAAATATTAAAAGTGAAGGAGAAGGAGAAGAAGAGGAGGAAGAAGATGAAGAAGAAGAAGGGAAAATACGTAAAGAGAAGAGAGAAGTGAGAGAGTAAAAAGAATCGAATCAATGGAGCGAGAGGGGAAAATGGAAAAAAAGGAAGAGTAAGAAGCATACGTACGATGTACCCCGTATTGAATAACTTTCAATTTCATTACCGGGAAAAAAATAAAGGTTATCGTTTCTGTACTCCCAAACCTCTCCCATTGACCGCCTCCATTCATTCAGACTCTTACTCAAAGTATATACATATGTACCTACAACCTACCACCTACCACCTAGACCGTTGTTCTCTTGCATTCACCACAAGTTGGGTCGTTGTTGAATTACTGTTCAATCTGCAAGTGTGTCTCCACCAGAAATCCACGCCTTCTTAGTCCTTTCTGTTGAACCTTCCAATGTGGAGATCCCCATATGATTCGTCTTTTGCGATGGAACCTGTCACGCGGATCAGCACAGGGTGTTCGTCATCAATCTACAGATCCTTTTTATTCTTGCACGGACTGTGTGCGATATCTAGACTTTCCTGAAGCGAGAGAAAGAAGAAAATCAATTAATAAAGAAATCTATTTGCTAACTCTCGTCGTCCTCATCATCACTCCCGAAAATTGCCTTGAAGATTTCATCACCTGGCCGCTCCGCCTCTAACGCTTCGTTACGCTCAGGCTCCACTACAATCGGCTTAGGCTTTTCTGTAGCGCCACTGCTAGCGTCTGCTTCAAGCAGAAGTTGATCCATAACTTCCTGTGAAACTAATTCCTTGGGCCCAGTAGTCTGATATCCTGCAGACTGGAACCGTCTACCGGGAGGGTCTGAACGTCTGACCGGTTCGCTGGGGTCCGATTGCACGTGGTCGGGGGGTTTTACATTAAACCGCTTACACAACAGACGCGAGGGATAGAAAGAAATGCTGCTCCGAGTCATCGGGCCAAACATGCCGATCTTTGCGGCTGCTACTGCAGGGTCTTCGGGCTTCTTGGCAGGTTTGTGAAGGACCGAATCCGCTGTAGATGGGTCTGCCTTGTCTGATGACCCCTTTGGTCCGCTGGAGGCGGACGTGAACCGCGACGCCATAGCCCCAGACATTGGTTTGAAGACTTCCGCGGCGCGGGCGAACTCGTGAAGCTCCGCAACCCATTCATCGGTGCTCGACCCGGAAATCCGCTCTGGAAGACTGTCCCGAAGCCCCGCCCGTACTTCAAGGAATGTTCGATAGCGGGTTCGCTTGTCGGGATCCTCAGAGTAAGGCATCCAACCACTAGCCGCGCGGGCTAAAGCCTGGACTGCTACCTGCTTATCCAATTTGGGGATAAGATCCCACAAATCCTTCCGCTTCTGCGTCTCCGATAATTCATATCCTTCTGGGGCTTTCTCACCCAAAGCCGGCGGTAGGTCAGTCTTTCCTGTTAGTCGGACAATCCTTTCCCTGGACTCAGGGGTCATCCAATCAAATATTGATTTCCCCGGAAGTTGCGCTTCCCCTAGAAGTGCAGCCCGAGACGTGGGGCCCAGTGAGGAGGCTTTAGCTGCCTCAGCTGTAGAAACGTAATCGGACGTATCTCTATCTTGGGATGGGGCCTTTCTGGGTTTCCAATCCTTAGGAATCTCAGGGGGTGCGTATTTCTTCTCCTGCGATGAAATAGTTAGGCTGGACATACCGTCAGCTAGAAGAAACCCCTCTAAGGGCAAACGGCCATCGTGACAATTTCTGAATCCCGTAGAATTCCTAGCGGCAATCGCTTTCTTGGATATAAAAATCGGCTTGTTGTTCAAGAGAGGGTTGGATGCCACCTTCGGCTTCACATCTTCCGGCGACTTCCTCTTATTTTTCTTTTCCTTCCCAATGACTCGATTATAGGAGATCTGTGGCCCTAAGGAATACGGGTCCTCGTCATCCGAACCCGTGTCATTCAGTACACCGACACCAAATGCTCCGCGACGTGGCCCCTTTACAGTTGGCTGCTTGGAAATGACTTGACCAGTCAGTCGCCGCCCAAAGAATGGATCAGCATCTTCACCAGACTCGTCGGCTCGGGCCCTTTGGGAATCAAGACGGGATTCGCCCTCAAATCCAAGCCCTTTGTGATCTGTCTTACGTATAAAAGACACCATGGGTGAATTCTCCGGTGCGAACAAGTATGCCTTTCCGGTGTCGCCACCGTAGGCTGAGTCCTCGCCGAGCTGGGCTTTGCGTCGAACCTTCGGGCCGACTCCCTGGCCCTCTTTCCAGCCCATCTTTTTTAACAATTTGACACCCATGGTCTCACCGCCACTTTTGAAAAGCTCCATTAGTCCTCCCCGGCGGTTGGAGTCAGCATCTGTGGACCCGAATCCAGAAAACTCATTGGCAGTGTGCAGGGTTCGAGATTCCTCTGCCTCCCGTACGTCCTCCTCGTCCATGAAATCTTCCACCCGTTGCTGTCGAGCATCCTTTGCTCGATTATGACGTGAAGAAACAAAAGTTGCGGGGGTCCATCCTTCCTTCGATCCGACGGTGTTGAAGTACCTGAAGACGTGGCCACCTTTAGTGTGCTGTCCAACTCTATTCACGAATCGTGAGCTCACCCGGCACTAAAACCACCGGTGAAGGCGCCATGTAGGCGTTTCCTTCCCCGGTCATCTGTCACCTCCTGTTTCCAGATCGGTACATAAGATCCGTCGTCGCGGACGCCGGCATCCAGCGGCGGAAGAGGGGTTCCATAAAATGCATAAGGGGACTCATGTGCCTGCAGATCAGCCTCAAAGGCTGCGCGACCCCTTTTACCAGCCATTTGCAAATTATGCGACGCTTAGTTCCACCGTTAGAAGCTGGCCATGCTGTAGAACTAGTACGATGACATATCAGTCATTCTAGTCCAAAAGGAAAAAGCACGCATACGAACACAAACGTACCTTAATAAAGCAGCGTAATCAATGTGATGAGTGCTGTTAAGTTCCAAGCCCACTGAAGCGGCGGGAGCCCTGTTGTTGCTGCGACAGTCGAAGTGAGTTCAAGCCGATGGATCGTGATGCATCATTGACCAATAGCATCATGTGATGAGGCGGTGTGTCGACAATACCGCCACATCTATGTGGCGCTCGCACGTGTCCCGAGGATGCACATACAGAAACATACTGAAGATGCCGAGTACGAAGTACGGAGTACTACTATGTATGTAAGTAAGTACAAGATTATTACCTGTACGAACGGAAACAAGGGTTGAAATCCAGGTTCTGACGGACCGAACTATCAGGTTTAAAAGGCCTATTTCGTCAGCACAAATAATTACCATGTACTAACGTGTAAGACAATGATTCAGTTGTTCTTATAAAAGGGGATTTTGCACCTCCTAAATCGAATTGGAAGTAGCTCTCTTTCCGAGCTCATAAAGGAGATCGGGAATACCTTCTGGCGTTCCAGGTCCCTGTCTCGATCAAGATGTAGTGGAATCAGTACTGTCTACGTGCCTACTCAGGGGATGACGTTCCGGTACGTATCTCCAACTTTATGGAAATGCTTAATTGCAGGGGCCTCGGAAAACCCCTTATTGGTGGTGGAAGAAGTGCGTGAGATCATTAATCATTTGCATTAGTGCCTATTTCTTTGGACCAATCTCATCTGGATTTTATCTCCCATGGTACCTGGAATTATTAGGTATACATACGGAGTACACATACACATACCAATGTATACACTTAGCCTCAACCTGAAAAGGAAACCCTGTTTATCTTACAGACAATGCCTACGTGATGCTACATCAAATCCAGCCCACTCTTTGTATTTCATCTTTGATTGTTAAAAATATCTCATTGTCACTTGATACCACAGTGCCCGGAGCACACGTGAGTGGTTGAGCACATGTACATGTACAATGAGCCTTTCATATAGTAATAGATGGAACCAGAAATGGTTCACTGAGACTCAAAAGTCCTCCATTCCCCTACAGCAACAAAGAGTTATCATCTGGATGATGGAGGTACCTGTCATATTATACTATACATACAGTACTAGTAAACTTGTCCCATGATACCCTCGGTTCTACGACGGGTACTAGATTAACTCTGCTTCTTTCATTCGGCCAGGGTTTGGTTTTCCCCCCTGTAGATAGATGTGACTATTGCGAGGGATATTCGACGTATGTAGGGATAGAATTGGGAACGAGACTATGATGTAGAGTAGTACGTGGTTATATAATTATATAATCATATAAATTAAAAGGACCAAAATGAAAAGTCTTGGTCACCTCCACATTTAGGGACCTAATGTGGGCAAAACCAGAGACCATCACAATCTCGAATATCATGACCTAAACCCGTGGTACTAAACATAGTACAGAGAAATACAGTTACCGTTGTCCCCCCCTGGGCCCCGTGTCTCTTTCTCCGCATCCATCGTTCTAACTAATCAACTGCTTGTTTTCCCACTACCTAATCACTGCTTTCTTTCCTTTCTATCCTATTTTTTTTTTACCCTTGTGTCCGCCCACCACCGTACTCCTCTCTCTCTCTCTTTCCCCTCCTCTCCCTTTTTTCCCCTCCTCTTTTGTATTTTGTTGGAGTTGTATATGGGGGCGTGTCGATCCGTCTGCTGGACGTTTCGACGCTGGCTTGAGCGCTTGTCAGCAAACGCCATCTTCCCCCCCGCTCGCTCTCCGACCGGGCTTTTGACATAGTAGAAGCATAGTCTCCGTCCCCTTGGACGCTGTTTTGCCCCAACACGATCCGCTTTCGAAAACCCCTCATCCCGTCACCCAATTTTTTTCTTCCTTTTTGGGTTGAGTGAAGAAAGCTTGGGCCATTAATGAATGGGGCTGTTCTAATTTCGCATCGTGATGTCCACTACTGCCCCATCGCCAGCGTTGCCATCGGTTGTCCGCAGCCATTCCACAACTTCCCGACCTCCTTCCCATCACCCTGTTGTCTCATCCGATAATCCTCACCGAACCCGAAGTGTCGCTGTGAGGCCCGCGACAGCACATCAATCGTCTCCACAATATCACTCCCATCATTCGCATTCTCATTCCAGATCACAATCTTACGATCGCCGACCCCCTTCGAATCAAGCAGTATTTGATAGCATAGCTCGTCGGGACTTCGAGCAACCGTTACCCGCCCGCCGGAGTAAGTCAAGAGAGCGATCCCAGGAGCGTCCGTCTACCGCTTATCGTGCCGAACCTTCTTCAAATAAACATCACCGGAACTTGTCCGCACACGGTCATCAGCGGGATAGCATCGACATGACCACCGCAGGGCCCGTCATGGCGGAGGGCGTACCTGGCCCGCAGCAGGTTGCTTCCGGGTCGCGCCTGCACCCTGGTACCATACCGTCGAAGCGTCGCACAACAATCACCACTCCATCGGGTCAGTGGGCTTTAGGAAAAACTCTAGGAGCAGGAAGCATGGGCAAAGTCAAAGTTGGGAAGAATTTAGAAACTGGAGAGCAGGTGAGGGCGTCCTATGTGGATTCAATAGGACTGTTTTAACTAACACGGCTTGTTCCAGGTGGCCGTTAAGATCGTTCCCAGGCAGTCGACGGAGGATCATCGGAGCTCACGCGATGCTGAAAGAGCAGATCGTTCAAAGGAAATCCGAACGGCTCGAGAGGCGGCCATCGTGAGTCTTGTGAGCCACCCGTACATTTGTGGTATGAGAGACGTGGTGAGGACCAATTACCACTGGTACATGCTCTTCGAACTGGTCAACGGCGGACAAATGCTCGATTATATCATTTCCCACGGGAAACTAAAAGAGAAGCAAGCCCGAAAGTTCGCTCGGCAGATTGCCGGTGCGTTGGATTACTGTCACCGGAACAGCATTGTGCATCGCGACTTGAAAATCGAAAACATCCTGATTAGCAAAACCGGTGATATCAAAATTATCGATTTCGGTTTGAGCAATCTCTTCTCTCCCAGGAGTCTTCTTAAGACTTTCTGTGGTAGTTTGTACTTTGCCGCCCCGGAGCTACTGCAAGCAAGGCAATATACCGGCCCAGAGGTGGATGTCTGGAGTTTTGGCATCGTCCTCTACGTATTGGTCTGCGGGAAGGTTCCGTTCGATGATCAAAGCATGCCAAAATTGCATGCGAAAATCAAGCAGGGAGTATTCGAGTTCCCGCAGGGGCTCTCGGCAGGTCAGTAGCACCCCAGTTTCAAGTTTCTTTATGGATGAATAGTCACTGAATTATGCATATTCACAGAATGCCGCAGCATCATTTCACGCATGCTAGTTACTGATCCCAAACAGCGCGCAAGCTTAGCGGAGATTATGAATCATCCATGGATGAACAAAGGATACAATGGCCCCCCTGAGAACTATCTTCCACACCGTGAGCCATTGCAGCACCCATTGGACGCAGAAGTCATCGAGAAGATGACGGGCTTCGATTTTGGCCCCCCGGAGTATATCACCGCGCAGCTCACGAAGATATTAGAATCCGAAGATTACCAGCATGCCGTACGGACGAGTGTTCGTGAGCAACCATTGCCGAACCATGGAGAGAAGAAGCGTGGCATGTTCGATTTCTATAAGCGGCGAAATTCGACTAGTCGAGATACCCTCTCTGCCCCTTCTGCAGAGGCTGTTCAACTGGGGAATGACCCCTTGAACGCCTACAGCCCTCTGTTGTCTGTCTATTACCTTGTTAAGGAGAAGCTCGAGAGAGAGCGAGCCGAGAAAAACCCCGGGGCTTTCGGTGTTCCGCAGTCGGCCGGAGACGCTATGCTCCAGATGCCCGACCTCCCAGCCCCGGAAGCGGCACACACCAATCAGTATCACGTACCGGGTGAGAAAGACAATACTAGGCGGGCTCGTCCTCGAGCAAGGACTCACGGTGATGATGACCTCTCCGAGGGGGTTAAAAATCTCCATCTGGCTCCAGGACAGGGATCTCCTGCTCCTACAGCGTCACAACCAGAAACTCCTGCGAAGAAAGAAAGCACTGCAGCAGGTATTTTGAGGCGATTCAGCACCCGTAGAGCAAAGGATCGCAGTCGCGATCCCGACCGTGGAAGGGTTTCAAGTCCCCATGCCCCGTCATTACACGTTCAACCACCCGCCGATTCGGTTTCTCCGTTGTCTAGAGGGTTCAGTATGAGAAGGCCCAGGCGTGCCGAGCCATCCCCTGCAAATATCCCTTCAGCAGGAAGCCAGCCACAGCATCAGGATCTTCTTAAAGCCCCAGGATCGGAAGAGCCGGCCTCGCGATCCAACAAATCCCTGGGGAGATCAACCAGTGTAAATTCAGCTGATTACCGTGCTCGGCGGGCAGCGCGCAGGAACGATCAGGACGGAGCGGGCCAGCCACCTCCAACCAGTGGGTCTGATTATTCTGGTATGAGTGTACAGAAAGATCAGACTCCTCAGAAGGAGACGAGGACAGGTCGTACACATGCCTCGAGAACAATGTCACTTGGTCACGCTCGCCGTGAGAGTATACAGGCCCGTAGGGCTAAGCGAGATGCGGCTAGGGAGGCAAATGTTCCTGAGGAGACTGATGCGGACATCTCTGGCGCAGGAACTGCGCTGGAAAGTGCAAACGAAGGAGAAGATCTGTCAAAACCAGTATTTCTAAAGGGTCTTTTCAGTGTTTCAACCACTAGTAGCAAACCACTCCCCGTCATTCGATCCGATATAATGCGGGTTCTCAAACAGCTCTCGGTGGACTACGTTGAAATCAAGGGAGGCTTCAGCTGCTGCCACACGCCGAGTATTGAGATAGATAAAGTGGTTGATGTCGGCCCCCCAAGCCCTGACCGGCAAGGTCATGTGTCTAACCATCGTCGGCGTATTAGCTTCGGGGGCCTTCTGAGCCATGACGATGGCAGGGAGGAGACCCGACACACCCCCAGGTCCCAGCGTCGGACTCGCGCACCGGATCATAGCTTTGTCACCAATTCGGAGGCGTCCGACGAATATCTCCCTGCACGCGACAACGTGGTAGTCGGGGAACGCGTCATGGGCGAGACTACCACCCGAGTTCAGAGCGACACCGGAGAAAATTTGGTTCTCCGGTTTGAAATCCTCATTGTCAAAGTGCCGCTGTTTTCTTTGCACGGTATCCAGTTCAAAAAGGTATCAGGCGGCATGTGGCAATACCGAGAGATGGCAAAGAAAATTTTGGACGCCCTGAAACTCTGAATGCATTTTTCACCTTCATACGATAGCATGAGACACTACTGTCAGTCATAAGAGTTATGGTTGATGCGAATGGTCTGTATCATGAAGCATTTGCATGAGCGTCATGTTTTTGTCTTAGTTCCTTTTCTTTTCTTTCTTTTCTTTTTCTTTTTTTTTCCCTTATGCGGTTCTTTCTTCACCCTAACCCCCTATATGAATTACTGTCAGTCTCCGGTTTGCATTATATTGAGCTGGCTCATTCCCCAAGCTGCTGTTACTGGTTTGTCCTGGTGTATATTAGACCCGAGTATGGATGATGCATCATGGATTACAGTCGGTTTTCCCCTTTGTTCTTCGTGACAACTGGCGCAGTCATTTTGTATATCTGTGTCCCAAACTTGTCGCATGGCACATTCTAATGTAATTCTGCACCTTGTGTAGGTCTGGATCTAGACCTCATGAACGTAGCACATACTCTATCATGCCTCGAGCCTCTCATGTCCAACGCAACTTGCCTCCAAACAATTATTTGGGATTGCCCAGGTAGACCCAAGCGCGCTGATTCGACTATCTTCCCATGAATTAACTATAGCGTCACCCATTAATCGGGGTTAAACCTGAATGGACATCTCGAGAAGCAATCTCGTCACCATCATTGGGGTACACAGTCTATGCGAACGGCTGCATTGATGATATAGGGAAAAAAGGAGAAAATAATGCCATATTGAGTATGTATAAAGAGAAGATTAGTGAACAAGATAGCTTAAGAAACAATTTGAAAGTATTATTTGATATACGTGGCTTTCAAATTTTAGTATCAGATGTAGCCTTTCACCTGAGAAGTAAGAACTCAATTGTGATAATGCTGCAATAAACTCATTTCTTCCCGGTTACTAGCCTCCCCAAGCACGCCTTGTATTACCTTTCTACTAGTAAGTAGTATTGCTTGGAATGATCGCCAGCTAAGGGACATGTCGCAAACGAACCAACCACAACGCCCAAAAAGACTCATACCGCCCACAAGATAACACTACTGTGGAATAAGCCTGTATAAGTAGTATTTATATACACATATAAGTATTACCTTCTTGGGTTACTTTCACAGTTACACTTAGGGCTGAATTTATTCACCTAGAGGGCACAGATATTCATCTTTTATCTGTATATTGAATTGATATTTACTTCCTCTTGCCTGGATACACCATGCAGTCTAGATACGAGAGGGAGGACGCCCAACTACCAGGGATTAACCCTGTTCGTTGTTCTAATTAACTACGCCATAGGGTTGCGTTCTGGGAACATGCCCTGGCAACGGCAGCATGTTGTAGATCTCTGATATCGGGGAGATTTGCAAAGTTTGATGGTGGAGAATTGGCCCAGGAACTGAGAGCTTAACCAAATTAGATACTAGAACTTGATAGCCTGATGCTATTGAATACCTTGTATCGTAGGTAGCTGACATATGCCCGGTGAATAGGGGCTTTGTCGAGCAGAATGTTGAATCCCTTGGGAGTGAGGCCACAAATAAAAGCGCTCATGATTCCCACCTAGATAGGCCTTTTTCGATATCATTAGGATCGCCAAATCCAATCGTTTCCTCATCGTAACCATACGATTATATTACTATATCTTCTACAGCTGCCTAAGCGAGGGTCTGTTATATATATGAGTTGATACTTTATACTTCAAAGCTTGGGAGCCTGTAAGGGATAAGTCTCGCAACGTTCGAAAATCTATCATAGCTATCAAACAAGAAGAAAACGCTGAAGAAGAAAGAAAAGAGAAGAAGAATCTACAAACTGTGAGACAATGAGGTATGACAAGAAGGAGGGCCAGAAGTACACCATGTGACGAATACGGAAACGAGGGTCAACGGCCTGAGTATTCTAACGGGCTTCAGCCCGCTACAGGGCTATTGGGTATCATTATGGTATTACTAAAAATATTATTGTAGTGGGGTGACCCCGGCGTCCCCCTTGTCATCACATGTTCCTATGCAACGGGACACATATATTAGATAACTGGTCTCCGTAGGTTGGAGCGATCAGACAAGTTCTCCATTTCTTCGTGGGCCGTACCAACCTGTGCTGTAGAAGTCCGGTAGCAGATGACGCGACCATCAGTCATCGGGATTTGGATTAGGAGCGGTGTGACGACTTGCCTCTGCTTTACAATATAATATAGTTTTACAATGATATCGACTTATTGTATGCGAGCTGGTCATCTAGGAATGAGGCTGTGTTTTGGAATTAGGGTTATTCATAACTTATCTATTTAGGAAGCCCATAAGCCATGCAGTGCATATGAAATTTACGGGTACGGGCTACAGGGTACAGGATATATCAAGTCTTGGGATATTATAAATTTTAATATTGAAGCTTGCTTCTCCTTATGTATTTATATACTAGATGAACTGTCTAAACTGTAGAGGTGCCACGGGTAAGCCTTAGACTTTAGGCCCTGATGGCAAGTTGCGATACTATATAGATCCACTACGATGAGTTGATCGTAGTGGATCTTTTTACCTAGTGGACAGATCCTACGTATCGAATTACTAATCCCAGGAGTAATCCTTTACAAGAGGATTCCTAGTTCTCTATAATCTAATTGTATTTTCAATATAGTGAGACCAGTAGAACTATATATTCTACACAAGATAAACCCTTGATTCTTAAAACAAGGGTAGCCACTAATATCTATCTAGTAACAAATATATGACTCAAACTACTGTGGCTCAGGTAATATACATATAGAGGAACTTTTAGGGTAGAGCTGTTATGGGACTGACTTACAGGCAGCCCTATATCATGGGAGGCTCTGCCTAAGGCATCGCTGCTAAGCCTTTACCACACAAATATTTCGAACAACACGTTATTCCCGTCAATTAGCTATTTCTTCTTATTCAATAAGCAAGCTTAGGTTGGAACAGCTTATTCGTCCCGTAACAAGAGCATATACTGTAAATAAGAATACTGCCCCTATGCGCTAGCGGCTAGCGGCTGATGTCTAGTACTAGCTGTCGCGGCCCATTGGGCCAGGGCCGCCCAGGCGTGGAACTACGTAAGGCTGTAAGCTAAGTAGCCGGCCCCTAGACTACCCGCTAACGCTAGGGAGTTGTAGCCCCGGACTGCGCTGTCCACAGTGGCTTTCAGAGCCTAGAGGAGTCTGGACATCCAATAAAAGAGCTCAATGCCTTAGTATTTGTATTTTGGTCTATAGGGTTTATTAAGGTAAGGCCCAGAGGTGTGACCATGCAAGCCTGAATTGGTACTCAGACTGTCAAGGGGACGCAAATTTCTGGCCAGTTGGCGATTTGTAGTTGGCTGCATATTTACGCGGCCTACCCATGGTATGATCTTGTAGCTTGTAGTGTTGGATGATTGGGTCTGCTTCAGTAATAGGAAACGTATATCGATATATTTGCTTGGATTTGATAATTATCGACTTAATCTTTTTTTTTTGACTTGTTCTATTTTAGTTATCTATTTCTTGATATGTTGAGCCCTGGATTATGGATGACCCGTGGTACGGGTTGAACCCGCAACACACGCCACATAGTGGCTATAGTCACGTGGTTCCCGCTAGTTACTCCTGATCCGTATTTTCTGTTATCTCTTCCTCTTCAGCTATTCCTTCTTGTTCAATAGACACACTTAGGTCAGAATATTCTATTCGTCCCGTTGTAATCCTATGTCGTACGTTGGCAACACGGGATAGCTATATACTTCCGCCTACCAGGAGTGACTGCCTCAGGCATATAAGCACGTGACCTGGGAGCCGAAGGGAACACCAACCGTGTACATAAGGACCTAAAGGATCCCCTACCTTCCGTAGGAGATCGGCAACTCTCTACCTACCTTAGCCTACCGCTACTTGCAATCATACCGTAACAACCCGGGCGATGGTCTAGGTCGCAATTTGCAGTAACTGCCACACATGATACATCCCCTATGAAGATTGTTAGGAGCAGGGTATACTATATATATGTTACAGACCCTTGTCTAGCGCGTCTTATCAGAAAAACGGAAGCAATGGGCAGAAAGGCGTCGGTTCAGATTGGCTGAAGTTAGAAACCGGGATTACCAAAAGGAGGCCAATTATGGAGTACGATTGGTAGCACGTGACTTGATATACAGGAAGTATACAGTTGAACGCCAATACGACATACAAAAACTCTACCACAGTATACCAACCAGACTACCACTTGGGAACAGGATATATAAGGGCACTCGTTCATGTACTTAGTTTAGTTCTTCGTGATCAATTTCAATTGTTACTACAGAGTTACCTTAGTATCAAGACCATTCTAACTATTGAGTATACGTACTTGATAGGCCTGGCCTTTGGAATTGAGCTATAGTCTCGGATTAGTTATCGCATCCTCGATCAGACCGCGGATTAGCTCACCCTCACGGCATCACAGCACTTCGTTACTGGACCTCAGTGGATTCTGACGCTCAGGTTTGACTCTCGCTACGCAAGCGCAGCTAACTGGTCAGCAGAGCTCCAGCCCGAATACCCAGGCGTAACAGCTAACTCTAACAATGATTTTGATAATTCTATAAGAAGAGCTAAAATGCAAGGTTGTTGGGGTTCAGTTTAGTCTGAGACTGGGATGAAAGGATGGAGATATTATGATAACATCATATTGTTACGCCCGGGTATTCGGTCAAGAGCTCCTAAGTGTTAGCTGCCTTGCGTTGAGCGATAACTAACCTATTGACGAGACCAAACGTATCTGTTACTTCGAGTGGCGATTGTTCTGGATACGATCCTGTCCAGGGTCAACGAGATGACCTAGTCTGAGGTCGGCGATGTACAGCGAGGCTCTATGTGTAGCTCAAGTCCAAAAGGCCAGGCCTATTAAGTACGTATACTTAATAGTTAAGGAAGTGCAAACGAGCCGATTACTAACTTGATACCAAAGGTGTATCCTAAGTAACAATTTGAATTGATCACGAAGAACTAACTAAGTACATGAATGAGTGTCCTTATATATCCATCCTTGGGGTGTAGTGGTAACTGGGCTGGTATACCAATGGTATACGTGTGGTATACGGTATACTGATCTGTATACCATTTGGTGATCGGTTGTATACCATTTAGCGCGTCACGTGATGTCGGCTGTCTGGTCTGGCATAAGTAGCGTGGCGGGTGTTCCTTGACTCTGGTGTCACCTCAGCCTATCATTCTGCCTTGATTCTCCGCCTCTGATAAGGGCGCTAGACAAGGGTCTGTAACACATATGTAGGTGTGGTTAGGCATATCGAACAAGAGCTTCGATATTTTGGTCTTTCTAACTTAGTGGTTAGCCTAACCCCGCTGTGTACCCCGGTTAGCCATCCGATATCATTTCCAAGCATGCACCATAATAATAGTTAAATAGATCAATTTCTTCCAGCAAGTCTACAATGGCTATTATAATATCTATTTAAAAATTAAAAGTAGAACCATGTTCAGAAAAATTATTATATATGGCTAAAAACTTTAAATAATAAAATTCACCTTAACTGGTGGAGGTCTGTGCGAATTGGCCAGTTGTTAATTCATTGACTTAGCCGCACAAAGGGCAAGAGCGAACGGGCCAAACCATGCCGCCCTCTTTACTGTCCATTTCTATTATAATGCTCTTTTCATTGGGGGGTGTCGTTTTAATGGTTTATCAAGACCCCCCCCCCCCCCCC